GTTGAGCCCATCATGCACAAACCGCGATCGGGTGAGAGGCTGGTCTATCCAAGATCCTTGCCTGGGCAGGCAGTCTGCTTGTTTATGATGACCGGCCGGTGCACACGAAACCCAGGGGAATACGAGCACCAATGGCTTTTGAGAAGAAGGAGGGAGGGGGCGGGCATGGATCGTCCAAAGCCCACATGTGCATCCACGTCGACCTCACCTCGTCCAGGTCATGCTCGGAGTACCCCCGTCCGTGCAAAAGACGGTCCAAGAGGCCGTGACGGGTCAACGCCTCCTGGACCTTCTTTCCGCCTGCGAGCTGGAGGGGGAGGGAGGGGCATTTGATGGCGAGGGTGCGTTCGAGGGCGATGCGGGTGGCGTAGTGGGTGGGGGAGGAAAAGTCGGAGGGGGTGTAGCCTGCGCGGAAGTAGATGGTGGAGATCTCGATGGGGGAGGAGGAGGAGGGAGGGGTGATGTGGAGGGCGCGGGTGGTTGGGTGGATGTGGATGGAGTGGGCGAGCTGGTCGAATGTTTGGCGGACGACGTGGATGGCGTGACTGTGGGTGGTTGGGCTTGGGTGGTTGAGCTTGTTCGGTAATGAGTGGACTGGACGTACGCGTGTAGTAGCTCGTATTCGAGCCATCGTTGGTCGAATACGTTGCGTTCGCGCTGTTGGACTACGAACAGGATCTGCGCTCTGAAGCGGGGGTCACGTGGAGACGAGGAGATGAAGAGAAGCGACGCACGTGGGTACAGCGTAGGCGTTGTGTGCCTCTGCGAGACCTTGTGCGAGCCCAGCTGTGGTCGTGTTTGGAGGGAAGTTGTCGGGGGTGAGGTGGGGAGACAGGCCGTAGTATCCGGTGGCAGCGTGGAGGTATCTGTGAGGAGATGAGGTAAGCAGGCGGGGGAGGTGGACGGGACAGACCGGTGCAGAGCAGCAGCACGTTCCGAGAGCGGGCCGAACGAGGACGAGATGGTGTTGAACTCGACCTGTTTCAGCGACGGTGCTGCCTCGTCGGGCGCGTGCAGAAGGTAGTCGGACCGGAACAGCCCGAGCTGCAGAGTCTGTCCCCGTCGTCAGCACATCCACCCCCTCATACCAGCACACACGCACCTGCACCAGTCCCTCCTCCCTCACCTCCTTCCACCCCCGCCACAGCGTCCCCACAAACTCGTCCGCCTTTCCCACGCCCTCCACCGCACCCATCACCCGGTCCAGAAAGGCCTCGTCCATCGCGATCCGCGCGTAGATGTCATTGTAGATGTGCTGCAGGCGCTTTGCCAGGGTGAACGACGCGCGGGGGACCGGCGACGGGATGAGCGAGAGGGGCGCGTGGATGGCTGAGCACGGGTCCTGGGGCTGCGTGTCTGAGGGGAGATAGAGCAGGCCGTGGGAGAGTGCGTAGGTGGTGGCCAGGTGGGTGAGTGTGTCGATCTGTGAGTCCGACAGCGAGGGAGGCCAGTCCGTGAACGAGAACGCGGTCGACATCGTTTGCAGCTCACTCGATCGAGGCGACCATCGATATATTATGCAAACCAATCTGCTGACTCATCATTCATCACATTCATATCGCGTCATCGTTATCAGATCGATGACTGAGCCTGGACTGATTCATATCTCACATGCGTATCCACGTTATGCTTGGCCAATAAGCATTTAACTATTTCCACATATGACCCCAGGGCTGCAATACACAGTAGTGTATGATGCACGTCCACCACATCGCCGCCGCTCAACAGGGTGTTTGACAGTCTGCAATCACATCGTCGTATCGCTCTATGCACACCTCATAGCTCGAGGAACAATGCATAATAGGAGATGAAGCTACACCAGCTGTGATACGCACGCATGCATAATAACGGATCTGGAACAGGAAAGTAGCCAATATACTCTAGTCAATTCACCTCTATCTTTTTAGTAAGACTTGAATGCAATGCCATAAAAATAGGCCCATCCGTGAATCATATACCATGAGACTCTGAACTTCCCCCATGTCAAATTCTTCAGGTCCGCTTCAGGCCCTGCTTGGTACCACTACACTTTCAAACATTCCAGCGGCCAGATCAGAGCACTAATGTATAGTAGACATAGGCGTCGAATCAACCCAAAAAGCATATTAGCAGCCACTATTCTACAGTAGAGTGGGAAGCTCAAATGCACTTGACCGATCCCGCCGGCGAATACTTTGTCTGGCGTTCAGTCTACTTGGCGTCAATTCACGAGGAAATCGTTGAGCGGCGAAAAGCAAAGTACGTACATTGCTAATAGCGAGTTAACATAGCCTGGTGACAACGATGAGTGAGATTAGCTATGTGGATTTCTTTCATTGCAACCCGAGAAGAAGCCTCACATTTACTGAGAATGGTTGTCGTAGTCCCAACGTAGTTTTTCCCTTGTGGTGTCATATACTGCCCAAGTAAAAACGTTACTTCGTTAAAGAGTAGGGCATGCGAGACGCGAATGCACCATTACAAAAGTGATAAAAGACACAACACTGCCTTTCGTGAGACTTTACAATGCTCTTAAAGAAACTAACACACCCACCAGGTGAGGACCCCCATATTGACGAACATGACGATGATTTGCTGGACGAGTGTCTCTGTTCTGAGAACGGTTCTGTACGTCGCATGTTGTAATAAAGATGATGCGATGGAATAACTACCGTCTGATCCCTGATCTTCCTTCGCGCAAGTAGAAAATGACAGAGCCCGTGATGAACACGTCACATATAACGCTGGACAATGCCGAGCCAGCGTAAAGCTAGGCAGGAATAGGTCAGACGACGACATGTCTCGGATAAAAGTGCCATGATAACCAACAGGAGTGTTGAAGAGCACCGCCGGGCCATTGATTGTGCTTATCGATAGCGCGTCAGAGATGATATCAATATCTAGGGCGTGAAAAGCTTGCTCACCCTGCTATGTTACACCCTGATGGGCAGGATGGCTGGGTTTAGAATGTGCACAAGTAGAAAGTGTCAGAAGAGCACGCTAACCTAGTCCTAGGACTAGGCACACGTGATGGTTAAGACTTTACGTGCAGACGTAGTTGCTCTTTATCTTACCCAATGTAACGAAAGCTGCAGCAACCTACGGGAAGGATTAAGTATGAGCCTTTGGATCGACGTTTACTAGACTTACTACTGAAGCTGTAAGTAATCGGTTTTTAGCGCTGACTAGAAGGGAATATCAATAACTCAAATTCACTAAAGATGATTGACATCTGAACTCACTTATCCAAACACGATGCCCGTAAAAACTTGAAGTGGCGCGAGTGTCAGATACCCGTTATATCGAGAACAGCCCTAGTGAACTCACATCTGTACAACGAATGGGATGAAATACTTTCCAAAGCCAGAGCATATTGAGACATCAAGGCCCATCGGAGTCAGTGAATGGGACTTACGCTGAGAGTCAAGGCTCCCTAAAGTACCTTCGCGTCAGACAGTATCGAGAACATCACCAGAGAGGGTCACTCGCCGTCATCTGCCTGTATAGTTTAGTGGTCCGATTAGTCCACAAAGCGATATAAACTTGAAGCCGTAATTGGTGACCGACCATGGTAAATGGGAGGCTGGGAAAACTTCACGTCGGCCCCGTATGAGATATACCCAGTTTAAGGATACCATGCCAAAAGTATGTAATGTATCCAGTATACTGTGGCCGTACCGAACAAAATCGGTCAAGCAAATAAAGTCTAAGCGCTGAAGTTCGATGATAGACAGCCCACTGGCATACATACATAATCAGTAAAACCTGGAGGGTACGGGCTAAGTTCGGGCTGAAGGATCTATAATTCAAAACCTACCAGATACTTCAGATGCTTTCCATCGCGAGGGAATGCACGCCAATAGAACCAAGTTTGCGCCAGGGCTACACCGTATAAGCTGATAATGCACGCGCGTACAGCTTGATTGAGTCTTTAAACATGCCACGGTAGAACTTCGTACTTGAACGCACCTCAAAGCAATTATGCACCCTGACAGAGAATGAAAAGTAAGCGACATCTGCCGTGGTCACTCCAGAACTGACTCACCTATCAGTCCGGGACCCCACTGGCTTGCTCCCGCATGACCACCGCCAAAGTCGGACATGGCAAAATGCGACCAAAAACCTAAACTGCACTCCAGCGAAATAGATGGGTTCTGCGTAATGACGACTTGTGCTTCAACCAGTAAAAGCTCTTATCGATCAAGCAAATGAACATGGAACTCAGAACGAATGCGAAGCATACCTTTTATACACCTGCGGCGGTCAAGAATTACGATGCTGTGAGCACTTGTCAGATGAACTCAACCTTACAAAGTCTCGTATTTATCTTGTCATCGCGGAAATTTTCACGAAATGAGTAATAGATAAGTGCTCGAGAGTGTCTAGCGCTAACCTAACTGAGTAATGGGTGCCGTGAGCTTAATTCGAACATATGAGTGGGTGACCCAAGGGTGACCCAATTGTTCCCATCATACCGTATATCATCACACGCTGTCTTTGGACGCTCGACACAATGCGCGCTCTGTGAAACCTTGATAAATGCCTTGATAATGCTACATAAAGAAGAGTGACAACATACATGAACATCGTGGTATGAGGTGAATATAGAACCCATAGTGGGCTGGTGAAAACCAGTACTGTGCTCAACACTGGAACATAAATCATGTTGCATATCGACTTCCAACCCCCAGCTGCTTTGGCGCCAACAGCACGTTGGTTTATCGCCTTTTCACACCAATCGCTAAACTTCTTCCCAAGTGTGTCATTATTCGCCTGAGGGGCGTGGTAGGTTATCCTTAAATTGCCTGGAATGGTGGTTTTGATTTGCGTGTCGTAATATACCAGTGTTACTTATGAGATGAGCACGAGGTACGATCCACTTTGGTCTGCGGTGATGACGGTAGGCCAGCAACAATCTGGCTCAGCACGCCATATTCGACAGCCTTGAGACGCAAGTTCTCTGTCGCGGCATTGAAGCCCAGTGAAAAGTTGCAATCTTGGAAAAAGCTTGAAGTATTGTAAATATGTACATGTATAGACAAATGACAACATATCAGTAATGCTGCATGAGATCCGTGATCGAGATCGTTGTTGCACATACTATCGTTTGGACCACTGTTGTATTCGTTTTTGCGAGGAGCTAAATAACTCACCAGTCAGTAAAGCTAGAGCCTTCGGAAGTTCGCCAGTCGTTCCAATTTTTAGTTCTCTAGAAGTCTATGTAGAAATGAAAGCGCGCAAGGAAGATTTGTTGCAGCGGAACGAAACCGAAACGATGATGTTGTTGTCAACTATTTGTCACACTAGGTCACAGCGGCATCTCTAAGAGAAATCAGGCGGAGCTCTTCGGAAGGGTTGGGCCAAGTAGGCACATTGTTTGTTGTCTCAACGCTAAGTCCTGTTGGAGTACAGTACCCATTAGTAGTTTACAGTCTGCAACACTATTACAGTAGTTACAGCCACCGTCGTACATGTAGCCACATTACGTAGTGGCAAGAAGGAAGTCTTCTGACCATCATGTCACTCTAGTCAGTTCAGTCAAGTATTGACCTTCTACAGGTTATGAGCCCTGGCTCGCACCAGAAATCACTGCCATCTGTTCTATGCTGCTGTTTACTACTATTGTTGACTATGGGAACAGATTTGTTGCACCACAGTCAAGTCATGATGATGTGGCAATCCTTGTTACAAGGGTTCTATAACAACCAAAGTTTGTATACTCTGGCGCACAACAAGACAAGCAGAGAGTGGTGAGTGGAGGAGAGGATAATCTCCCTTAAAGTAGAACTGAATTTGTTGTGGGTAAACGACAGGAGGACTTGCTGAGGAGTCTCCTTGATCTATTGGGGTTTATATACATCTACAGACTATTTGCACATGTGTACTATACAGCTGATGAAGGCAATGGCTGATGATGTCATAGGGCACAGCCTGTGTGACCAGTTTCCACTGCGTGAGAGACTTGTAGCTAAGAATAAAGGAAAGCCCACAAGAAAGTGGAGTTTGAACAAAATGGAAAGTGTCACATGGCACAGTGTGTGAAAACTACAAAAGAAAGTTAAAGTGGAGAAGGAGATTTTAAGGTCCAAAAATTGTGGATTGTAATACTACCCCCCTTCTAAGGCTTGACTTCCAGGCAAGACCAGGTACCGGAGGTAGTGGTCAAATTTTTGGACATAGGTTGAAAAAGGGAATTAAAAAGGTTTGAGTCCGTGCCTCTAAGCTTCCTAGGAGCTGAGGGATTCTTAGAATAAAATCCTTGAACAGCATTACGAGAATTGTCCAGATGGGCTTCTGGTTCCCACATTCTGTCCTCATCTCCATAGCCCTTCCATAGGACTAGGAATTCTAATTTTCCACACTTCAAGCGTGCATCCACCACCCGTTGTCGATGATGAGAACTGCAGTCAGAAAACCACACACAAAAACAAACAAACACACAATCCTCCCAGATTCCACGGAACTTGTTTATGGGCTTTGCCTCCTAGAACAGTGGAGTGGTCTGATTGTTTGTGGGGTGGTACGTATAACAACCCTTCAAAGTAAAATCTAGAGATGTATGGGTGTGGGTTTTGAGGAGGAGGGATAGTTGGAAGATAAAAGATAGGGGCTTTTGTGACGAGTATGGACGGAGCACTACCTTGCTAATTATAGCACAAGGTAGGTTTGAGAATGGCGAGGCAACGAGGTTCCCAGTGATAGCAGGCTGCTGACACACAAACTGTAGTGCTCAGAAGGACTCTAATCAAAAGGAATGACAATGACCTTCAAAAGTGACGGGTGACGATGACAGCAGTTAACAGTGGTAGCAGTGGGAAGTGTTGTGACCATGCTAGATCATAAGTAGCAGAGTAGTGAACTTGAGATTAGAGAAGAAGTCTTGACTTGATTTCTTGTTTTGTTTTTTACAAGGTAAAATACAGGGGTTTATATAGTGAAAAAAAAGTAGGCTATACACAGTATAGCTGTGCAAAAAGAATAAGAAAGAACATGAAGGAAGGAATGTACACTGACAAATCCTGCGTAGGTAGTACAGGATAAGATTGTCAAAAAAAGGAAAAGAAAGGGATAGAACAATGAATGCTGTGAGTAATGTCACAGGTTTGTACAGCCATAAAGTAAAGTCCAATAGCAAAAAGAGAGCAGGAAAATCATGATTTCATGGGAAGATGCAGTAAAAAAAGGGCAAGGCAAAACAATATCAGTATTAACACAGTTCCTTTATTGTCAGTCAGGCATTCTAGAAAATATGTGTCCATAAAAATGATTCAAAAATCAAAAATAATCGCACTGTAAATGAATGTTCTGCTGAAGAAAAAGAAACTGGAGCCACCGGTCCACCACCTAGTCCAAATCCGACAGTTCCATGGCCTTACCAATGGACTGGTTGTGTTGGACTACCTGATCAAACAAGGGAGGGAGAGGAGTAGTTCCAATTTGGAACAAGTGAGTCCCAGGCAGCGTGTGGTAGGTGTAGCTGTAGCAAAGACGATGGACAAAAGATAAGTGTACCCAAGTGAATGGGACAGCGATGAACATGGGCGACGCAAGGGGATGAACCTTCTCCAGCTCAAAAACTACCCACCCACGCTCCAACCAGGCAAGACGAGCGGTCGATGTTTTGATAGTATATGATGGTAGATCGATGTCATGAAGATGGACCTGTTGCCCTATTTGGACCGGCCGCCGGGGCTTTGCTGATATCAGCAGTGGCACGTGGTAGTCAACGGATCGGCAACGGAAGCGGATAGGAAGTGGTGACATCAGAAATGGTGGGGGTGCAAATAAGATGAGGAGGAGGAGGGTGGAGGTGACAGAAAAGTGGATTAGAATGGGGATCCAGAAACGACCGTCAGGTGAGAATAAAAAGGAGAGGAAGGGGCCCATGGTGGGGCTAGGCAAAGGAAGGGGAGTAAGGGAAACGACAAAAGCAAGGGTGCAATGCAATGTGTAGCCAGTGGCAACACAAAAATTTGCCGAAATGCCAAAACGCGGAAAGTACCGGATGGAAAAGCAAAGGTGAGCGTGACTGGATTGCCTAATAGAGGTGGTGCTGATCAGCCACAAGTTTGAAAAAGGCAATATTAATTACTATTCCACGTGGCACTGTGCCTGTGTGGCGCAAAGGCGAATCTTTTTCAATATTCGCTTCATTATTGACATCTGTTTATGCTACCAATCAACTTAGGTGCATGACACCATTCAACTTTGAACTCTCCTTCACCTTCCTGGGTGACTACAACCAGTCTGGGCCAGTCTATGCGCTGTCCTGGCAGCAGCCCTTTGTAGGGTTTTACACAGCTAGTATTGACCGTGGGTACTACCCTCATTCATTTTGGGAGTTCCAGCTCCACTGCATTGGGTTTGACTTCCTTAATCCAGTAAGGGCCAGTCCACTTTTTGGTCAGTTTTCTAGACTGCCGATCTTTTAATTTTAAGTGGTTGGTTACTTCAGTCAACCTCTGTCCATAGCCTCTTAGGTTGATCAGTTTCTGTGATTTGATGTGCCTAAGAGGCCTTTATCCTGGGATTATCCCATAGGCAGGTAATCCATGCAGGACTCTCTTGAGCTAAGGTCATCCAGGAGCAATTTGAGAACCCTGGGAGTCCCAATTGGTGCAAGGGGTCCTAGCATTATTTAAGAATCTGAAAATTGTCCATCCTATACTAATACAAAGTAGGACTATTTTAGGATGTACTCAAAACTAATATATGTACTGCTTCAAAGGCTATCTAACATATTCCTACTAAATAGATATGCTCTGTGAGTACCAAGTGGTGTCCAAAGCATCTAATGGGACTATTTTGACTACTTTTTGGTACTAATCAAGTCTCACTGGGTATCCCAGAAGGTCTAGTAGGATGTCTTTATGATATCCATGTGGTATCAAGAAGATCCAATGGGATTAATATATATACTGCTGGTATTCCCCTGAGTTATGTAGGATATCTTTTGGAGTACTTGTATGGTGTCCACAACATCCAATGTGACCACTTTGGGTACATCTTATATTCTAACAAGCATCCCAGGTGCTCCAGTAGAATGTCCCTATGTTGCCATAGATGACCTTTAACAGCACTCAGATATTTTCCAAGAGATCCATTGATACTACTGCTGATATCCCAATGGTCCTCCAAAACATTCTTATTTATACCCAAATACCCTTCAAAAGCACCAAATACTGACTGGGAGATCCAAAGAAACTAATATTTGTCCTGATGGTTTCCAAATAGTCGTCCAGGATCTCCCTATTATACCCCAGATGTCCTTTGGTGTACTTGTATAGTGTCCATAACATCCAATTAGACTAACATGGGTATTACTTATATCCTATTGGAGCATCTGGGATCTGCTTATTATACATGGATACCCATTAGGAGTACTCACAATTATATAGAACATCCAATAAAACTACTGGTGTCCTTGAGGGCATTTCTAATGTCTCTGTTATATCTGGATATTCTTTACCATTACCCACAAGGTGTCCAAAATATCCAATGAAACTACTATTTGTACAGCAGGTGTCCCAATTTTTATCCAAAGCATCTCTTGATCCCTCTTCATAATCCCGTTAATCCACCATCTGTTGATGGCGGATTGCCTTGTGGGTCCATTCCATGATCTTCTCAATTGGGTTCTTCTAGATCCAATTGTGGATCATTTTCCAATTATTGGGACTCATTGCCTTTAAAATTAGATTTTGTACCAGATTTGGCGGTCTAACTCCTGTCAGGCTGCTTCTGCAGTTTAGTATTACTTTGTGTAATAGTAGCCATTGCTGGATATACAGGGAAATTCAAAAACTGTAAATTAGGGGGTGTTTCACTGATAGATGGTAATTCACTCTGGTTATCTTTTTCACTCACTTACTAACACAGTACTGAATTTAACCTGGGTTATATTCAATAGTATGTAAGAGTTTGTGATTAGATTGTTCTAATATAATCACACACTTCGACTAAATCTCTATATGGCTTAGAATTACGTAGTTTTAAATACCTATTTGGGAAGTAAGGTATGACTAATGGTTGATACCTTCCAATGAAGCCATTGTCTCCCTATATGGCATGAAAATTGCTCGCTGGCCCACTGATGTCCCCTTTGTAAAACCCTTTGCAATGGGACAGTTAAAGAGATTCATACACTTCAGGATGCATGGAAGAATGGGACGTGCTACTGGATGAGTCTGACAAAGGCTCAGCTTTCTGCTCACAAAGCTGAGCAGGAGGCACGGCAGGACGCAGGCAAAGTTATCTGGGGCAGATGAGGATAATGCATAAACCCCATGTTCAGGTGCGTGTTCCCTTTTCTTTATTTTCTTATCAACTCACCAGGATTACTCTCATGTTTTCCACAGCACCATTTGACCAGCCTTTGCCCAAAGATGCTTCATCCCTCGTTGTATTACTCCCATGCTTTTTTCATTATGCTTATGTCTATGTTTAATAAAAATGTTATAATATCATGGATTTCTCTATGTACATGGATTGTCTGTATGCTACTAAGTGGCAAATGTATGAGCTTGATGAGTTACTTGTAAATGGAGCATCATTATGCTGGCACTGATGAGCACGCATGGGTGATACTTCATATAGTTGCATTGCGACGCGCCTTGTCACATGAGGGCATCAGAGAAGTATGTTAATAGCTGTCTTGCTCAATCAGACAAAGCAATGTTGTACTGTATAGCTGGTTAAGGTTAAAAACCTTAATTGAGCTGGGAAAGGGGAGATGGACCAAATTAGCCATGGGACGGGATGACATTGACTAACCTTAAGCCCAGTTGGTAAGTATCTATTTGCAAGCCTCAAGTCCATGCGGTATCAAAGAGATAATTAAAAGAAGCCCGGAAACGGCTCTTTTGCTTCTAATTAGAAATGTGTCACACATGTAATATCACTTCTAAGTAGAGGCGTTACTAGGGAATTACAGGTGCATAAATCTATAATGTAAGTACTACAGTGTTAGAGAGCCTCCCAGGAACAAAACACAGATTTGAAAGTTATGAGATAATTGCACATCAAACATCAAGTAGAAAATGATGCCTAAAATGGTGAGAGACAGGAAGAGGTCTTTGATGAGCAGACTCTGATCAACATGGAAATTTCAGATTGTTCCCTGGTGAGTTAAATGGTGTGACTTTGGATCTATGTTTGTTGACCTGATACTCTTTGATTCTTTTCAGTGACTTATGTAGAGGTACAAGAGTGAGATTGAATTATACGGTAGGAGTAGTGATGGAAAATCATGCTTATAACATTGTAGTAGAGATCAAAAATAAATAGTAGGTCTGGTAGATTTCAAATAAAGCTATATGCAAGTAACTACTGAGTTTATGAGGCAGAAATGACAAGCCTTTTCAGTAGGAATTGCGGGATAGTCATCACAAAAGTTGCAGAAAACTGAGATTGCCCAAGATGCATGCGGAAGGATGAGGCCACGTGATGAAGATCAGTTACATCATATCATGACATTGAGAAACAACAAAGGCAGTATCTGAATCAATGTGTCTCTTCAACAAGCAGAGATCCCAGTATTCGTAGTATAAGAATTGTAGATATTGTCATACAAGAAAAAACCTATCAGTATCAGTACTGAGCAAGAATTGCGAGAACAAAAAAAACTAAAGTGCACTGAAGCCCTCTCAAGCTAAGATGTTGTTGTCTATCTCTTCTCCTTTGTCAAAAATGATACGGTCTAGCTTATGCTCCTCATCCTTGCCTTTGAGATCACTATCCTCTGACTTGTCCTTGCTCATCATGTCAGAGTCCTTGTCATGGTCTTTGCCCTCTGAGTCTCCCTCTCTCTTTCTCTCATCATCATCCTTATTCTCTCCATATTTCTCTCCCTCTTGTTCACCATTATCCGCCATTTCATCATTGACAACATAGTCTTGAGGTATGCACCCTTCTCACTGCAAAAGCTTATCCCAGTTGCAAGTTACTTTGTGACCAACCCTGCTGCCTCAAAAATGCATGAACATGTCCCTGTCCACAAAGCTTGGACTACTTTAGAAGCTGCTAGTGATGTAGTTTAGAGAGCACTCACATATTTATATAGAAATATCTCCAATCTTTATCCCAACCCTTTGTTTTAGGATTCTGACGAATAAACAATGGACTGAGGTATTCATCGGTTGATCCTAACAAAAATGTGGGAAAAAGGTGAACACCATGAACTACAGAATTGGGGTCAACAAGACTGAAAGCGTTGCAAGTGTCCTCCATGTTAAAAAACTGGAGCCAATACAATCATTTCACATTCCATCCTGCATCAAAATTCGCGTTGCACTGAAACCAACGAACAAATAGCACATCCATATGTGTTGGCCTTGAATATTGTGAGTGCTCATTTTTCCTATGTTTGACCATAACATTAAATATCTGAATGACACAAGTGTACCAGTATGGATGTGTACACTTGTCCTCCTGTGATAGAAACATGATGTCAGCTTGAGTTAAAGGATTGACTGTGTCTTGCTCGCATCAAAGATCATATGTAGTGTTGCAATATATTATGCTCAAATATCTTGTTGTTGTGCAGGAGCACACAATTCTGGTCCTCGTCTGAGAACTCATATTCGTCGCCATTGTATGCAAGGCCACAAAGACGTGCAAGGAGGTGGTCCTTGAGTTGGGGAAAGAAGTTCTAAAGTGCACATACATTAGCAGCCGTAAAGAATCTTATCCATTGAAACAAACCTTGGCGGTGGGGTCATCTCTATGTGTGCTTAACCATTCAGTCAAGTCATGACTGACTTGTGAACTAGCAGCAATGTGATAGTGATCACTTGGTGAACTTCGAGCACATTGAGCATTTTTCTCCTTAGGTTCTTGGCTCCTAAGTGTTTCACGTGCATTGTTCACCTTTTGGACGAATTTTTCTAGGACTTCTTGGTTTGCCATGCTCACAACCATGGTTTTTTTTTCCCCCCTGACCGTGGGAAACATCTCTTTGAACGCCTGTGCTCCAACTCGCCCTATATCACATTAGTTTCAGTTTCTCAACCATATATCACAGATGAATTTACCGTTTGTGTTGAGTAACTGTCAGTTGTACCAAACTGCCAAATAGTGTTTGGATAGTCACCCAATGCGTGAAATTTGTATGTTGACAAATTGAGTTTCTTAATCTTTGGACCTGTTGAAGATTTGATCCTTGTCAAATGGGGTTGCTTTGCAGAAAGAGCAATCTGGTGATGACCTCGAACAGCATATTCTTGTGGGAGCTCTGTTGTGTGATCAATTGAGCATACTTTTTGCTAAAACATGTGTACTGCCCTGCCAAGACAGATTGTTGCTGTGTCAAAAAATGAAAGAGTGTTGTCTGTATATAGTCAAAGCTTGGCAAATGCATGCCATATTGCCAAATCAAATAGAAGGTCCAAAAGTACCTTATCTTGAGGAGTGGGCAGTAGTCCCTCAAATGCAGGAATGGTGCACTATCCATGGCAATTAGTAAGAAAGATACTTCTGCAGATGAACATACCTGTAAAAGGTCTTCAAAGTCATGCGCTGCCAGCCTTTTCATGGCTGATGCATTTTTATGGAACCTTCTGATTGTTCCACAGCCAAACATTGGCATCCTTTGGTATCTGCATTCCCATATTCCCATATTGTTAGCTACAGTGTAATGTAAAATGTCTGATAATGTACCTCCAATTTAACTGTTGGACTGCTGTACCTGTAATAGCGTGCACAATATGCATTAAATGAATGAATATTGCCTTCCATACTCCGAGTTCAAGTTTTTGGAGTAAATCAACAACAAACAAAGAAAAAAAATTGAATGCATTCTGCCACAACAAAATTTGTTAGAAATAATATAGTTTTTCACTAAATTAGCACTCACACAAGTAGGCACCAAGGACTCAGTTGTCATGTATTTTGCAACATATCTGCTATTAACTCTCTTACCCTCTTTAAAGATAAGCTTACAAGCCTTATGAACCTTTTGACGGTAAGCCTTGTTGTTGCACCGTGTCTTTATTGTTCGGGTATCCATGTCAGCATCCTTCCCCATGTTGGGGATGTCAGCTTTCTTCACAAGACAGTGTGGGCATAGGCACTCGCCCAAGAACTTAATACACGCTGTCATGCACCAAAGTTGATTGGTAGCATGGACAGGTGTCAATAACGAAGCGAATATTCAAAAAGACTCGCCTTTGCGCCACACAGGCACAGTGCCACGTGGAATAGTAATAGTAATTAATATTGCCTGTTTCAAACTTGTGGCTGATCAGCACCACCTCTATTAGGCAATCCAGTCACGCTCACCTTTGCTTTTCCATCCGGTACTTTCCGCGTTTCGGCATTTCGGCAAATTTTTGCGTCGCCACTGGCTACACATTGCATTGCGCCCTCGCTTTTGTTGTTTCCCTTACTCCCCTTCCTTTGCCTAGCCCCACCATGGGCCCCTTCCTCTCCTTTTTATTCTCACCTGACGGTCGTTTCTGGATCCCCATTCTAATCCACTTTTCTGTCACCTCCACCCTCCTCCTCCTCATCTTATTTGCACCCCCACCATTTCTGATGTCACCACTTCCTATCCGCTTCCGTTGCCGATCCGTTGACTACCACGTGCCACTGCTGATATCAGCAAAGCCCCGGCGGCCGGTCCAAATAGGGCAACAGGTCCATCTTCATGACATCGATCTACCATCATATACTATCAAAACATCGACCGCTCGTCTTGCCTGGTTGGAGCGTGGGTGGGTAGTTTTTGAGCTGGAGAAGGTTCATCCCCTTGCGTCGCCCATGTTCATCGCTGTCCCATTCACTTGGGTACACTTATCTTTTGTCCATCGTCTTTGCTACAGCTACACCTACCACACGCTGCCTGGGACTCACTTGTTCCAAATTGGAACTACTCCTCTCCCTCCCTTGTTTGATCAGGTAGTCCAACACAACCAGTCCATTGGTAAGGCCATGGAACTGTCGGATTTGGACTAGGTGGTGGACCGGTGGCTCCAGTTTCTTTTTCTTCAGCAGAACATTCATTTACAGTGCGATTATTTTTGATTTTTGAATCATTTTTATGGACACATATTTTCTAGAATGCCTGACTGACAATAAAGGAACTGTGTTGATACTGATAGTGTTTTGCCTTGCCCTTTTTTTACTGCATCTTCCCATGACATCATGATTTTCCTGCTCTCTTTTTGCTATTGGACTTTACTTTATGGCTGTACAAACCTGTGACATTACTCACAGCATTCATTGTTCTATCTCTTTCTTTTCCTTTTTTTGACAATCTTATCCTGTACTACCTATGCAGGATTCATCAGCATACATTCCTTCCTTCATGTTCTTTCTCATTCTTTTTGCACAGCTATACTGTGCATAGCCTACTTTTCTTTCACTATATAAACCCCTGTATTTTACCTTGTAAAAAAAACAAGTACTCGATTCCAGACTTCTTCTCTAATCTTAAGTCCACTTCTTACTGCTACTTGTGATCCAGTGTGGTCACAACACTTCCCACTGCTACCACTGTTAATTGCTGTCATCATCACTCCCCACTTTTGAAGTCATTATTATCCCTTTCGATTAGAGTCCTTCTGAGCACTACAGTTTGTGTGTCAGGAGCCTGCTATCACTGGGAACCTCGTCACCTCGTCATCCTCGTCGTTCTCAAACCTACCTTGTGCTACAATTAGCAAGGTAGTGCTCATCTATACTCGTCACTAAGCCCCTATCTTCTATAAATTCAACTATCCCTCCTCCTCAAAACCCACACTCATATATCTCTGGGTTTTACTTTGAAGGATCTTCATACATACCACCCCACGAACAACCAGAGCACCCACTGTTCTAGGAGGCAAAGCCCATAAACAAGTTCTGTGGAATCTGGGAGGATTGTGTGTTAGTTTGTTTTGTGTGTGGTTTTCTAACAGCAGTTCTCATCATCGACAACGCCAAGAGTACTCTGATAGATAACTCCAAATTAGTGGTTACCTCATGCAGAAAGACTTGCTACTTACTTTTCAGGATAATTGGCAGAGTATGAAAAGAAACAAGGGAAGACTTGCCTAATAATCCCATCAATGCATTGTATCACAAGCCCATACTTGTATGCCTTCACAAAATGTTCATCTAAGAGCAGCTTCCAAATTGCCTGTATTAGCTCACACTTGCAATGTGTGTACATGCCGTCTGTTGAGGCATCACCATAAGCTGCAATATAAAAGTCTTGAAAATTTTCTGGTAGCTTTAGATTTAGTCAGTGTCTAATAGGCTTTTTTTGAGGCTACGGGGCTACATACTGTTGGAATATAAGCAGCATGGTGGCACACCCCCGAGGTTGGCTTACCTTGTGTGTAATTTGACTTGTTCCCGAAGAATAGATACACTGGCCATAGCGATGCATCACCAAAGTTGGCGAGCTGTGTTGCATCAGACTATAATATCAGTGATGCAACTACACACTCGTAGTCATCACCAGCTTCCCTGGGAAGGATATTGACCTTTTTGTATGCCTTAAGCATTGCAGGATGAGTAGGCCTCTGAGTACACTTTCACAGTATGGTCCTCAGAGGCGTTCCAGAATTGCTCGAATGGTGTCATGTGAAATGTTGGGGATAGGCTATCCTCAAAAGCTGTCTAAGTATTTCTGTAAAAGTCCACGCTCCTTCTCGTGAGAGAATAACAACTCATCCTTGGGGTTGAAGAGAGGGTCTTTTATATAGGACCACAAATGGTTGAGCTCAGAAATGGAATTTGTTGTGGAGCCTGAATACTGCTAGCACATTAGGAGGCTAGCTGTTGGACTGCTGAATGCAGAGAATAAGTTGTCTAACGTGATTTTTGGTTATGGAGGTAGGCTGTGACGTTGAGTTGCAGGTAGCTGAGAGTGTTGCTCCAAAGTGGGAGCATCTACGACAGATGTAATGTCCAATTGCATGTCAGGAATAAATGTTGGACATGTAGGATAAATACAAAAAATCCCCATGTGATCAGGTTCTTGTTTGATATAGAGCCGGTGGAGATACGGAACATGAAGACATGGAAGAGGAAGCACCATCTGAGGGTGGATGCACAACTTGACGAAGGCCAGTGAAGTCGCCAGGTAAGAAGTCGATATAATGTGAGGGCAGGCGAATTTGTCTTCCAGAATGTGCAGAGACAACAGGTGGTGGTGAAGCATTGGATGGACCAGCCTGAGAAGCATTTTTTACCTATCATGTACCAATATTTAGTTCATGCTTTTCATTTGATAAATACATTACCTCGTTGTATCCACCTTGAAAGTCATCATTATCACTGCCGCCTTGCAGGCCCAAAGACTGGTTATTAGAGCTGGAGGAGGGTGAGGGAGACCTTCTGTGTTTCTTGATTGTCTTGCGAGAGTTATGCAGGTGATAGTACATCCAAAATATATTACTGGTGAGTCTTTTGCTCTGTTTACACTGAGCCTCATAAGCACTTAGGGAGTGTTCAGTTTTGAACTTCTTTGCACATCCAATACAAAGAATGTTATCTATGTGAGCGCTTGGGAGAGTCTGGCTTGCAATTGTGATAGTAGAAGCACATTCCAGTATGCTCCAGGACTGTGTCAATGTATTGGCGTTGCAATAAGGAGATTGTTTTGTTTGAATAATCATGTTGGATTTCTATTCCGAGGATGTATTTTGCTTCTCCAAGGTCCCACATTTTAGATTCAAGTTTGGCTTTTGTGATATCCATGAATTTCCGGGATGAAGCTCCTAGGAGGAGGTCATCTACATAGACAACAACAAAGCATATTTGTTTGTTGTCCCGGAACACATAAAGACATGTTTCTGCATTTAGACTTGTGAAACCGAGCTCCTGGAGCTTGCAATCAAAGGTTTTGTTCCATGTACAACCAGCTTGTTCTAATCCGTAGATGGATTTCTTCAACCTCCAGCAGTATCCAGGTTAGATAGAAACACCCCCTGGAGGAAGCATGTACAGTTCTTCTTCAAGTTCTCCATTGAGATAAGCTGTGGATACGTCTATTTGATCAAATTCTAGGTTGTACTTTGCTGCCAGGGCTAGAATAATTTGGATTGACTCTAAGTTTGCAACTAGAGCAAAAAATTCCTGGTAATCAATCCCCTCCCTTTGAGTAAAACCTCATGCAACAATCCGGAGTTTGTATCTCTCAACTTTTCTGTTTTGATCAAACTTGATCCGGAACACAGGTTTTGATATGATAGGTTTCACTCCCTTCGGAAGTGGAACAGTGTCATACACTGCATTAGTATTGAGACTTAGGAGTTCCTCCTCCAAGACAGACTTCCATAATTCTCCATCTGGGCGTGATAAGGCTTTCTTTAGTGTCCTTGGAAGGTCTGTGTTAGATGGACCAGTACTTGCTATTCCAGCAAAGAATGTCTTCTCTGTATCAGATGTTTCTTCATGAACCTCAGGAGTGTTAGGTTTCTCCATGGAGTTGTTATGCTGCTCTTTTCAAGACTGTTCCTCATTTAGAGCCCTTTGATAATCTCGGTTTTTGTCTGCAGGAGACAAGTCTGGCAACTACTTTTGCATACTCCTAGGACTTCAGCAGGCATGACTGCTTTTTTAGGAACTTGTGCAGGTACTCCAGGGAGTAGATGCATTTGTGTGTGTGTTGCCCCACTCACTCCTGAAGGTGTTGAATGACTCCTTGGAGGTGTTGGATGGCTCCTTGGAAGTATTGTATGCCTTCCAGAAGCTGATCCAATGGACTGGCTGTCTAGCTGTATTTGGACTTTTTCCACATCAGCTGACTGTATGTTGAGGGGCTGTCCTCCCACTGACTGTGACTCTACTTTGGGTTTCCGTTCTGAAGATGGCCAGTGTTCGGGTCTTGGTTGTAGATGACAAAACCGGATAAACCCGGTCTCTGCCAAAGCAGCCATTGTTCTCCATGGTGTATAGCCATCACTCTATGGAGTCACCATTGTTCTCCTAGGAGTCATTATACTGTAGCGAGGAGCACCTCTGACTATAAGTAGTAGGGGGTTTAGTATAGAAATACCTCAGTTGTTTCTATAGCCTCTCGGGCAGTGGCTGAGGTATGTTACATTACACTTATTAGAGATCACCTTAAACTAACATCTATTGTAGTTTCACTTAGGTAAATAATAAAGTCATTTCTATAGCCTCTCGGGCAGCGGCTGAGTTTCACTTAGATTTATTAGGTTATAAGCCCTGGTGGCAAAAAAGCTACGCAGAAAATAATTCTCATTTAAAACGGCAACCTCGGAATCATGACCACAGCACACGATACATCCGCATGTCCAGTTCTCACTGGACCCAACAATTTTCAAATATGGAAACTCCGGATCATCTCAAAGCTACATCCGGAAAAAGTTCTCCGAGTTGTTACTAGAGAGGAGCTTAAGCCCTCATCAGGAAAGCCCACTTCTTCAGAGGATCCTGAAATCACCTGGATACTTAAGGATGAGAAGGCACATGGAATCATCCAGGACCACATCTCTGATGCCCTCCTAATGAGGACTGGAGACCTCACCAGCTCCAAGGAGTTATTTGACAAACTTGTTTCACTCCATCAGACGTCCAACATTGCCTCGGCCTTCTATTCATTCCAGCAACTCACCAAATTGTCCTGGGATGGGACATCACCTATCCAGGACCACATTGTGAAAATCCGGACAATTGATTCACACCTCTCCGGAATGAAACTAGGAGTTGATACCAAACTCATGGCCTTCACTCTTCTCCAATCTCTCCCATGCACTCCTGAATGGCAAATATTTCAGTCATCAGTAATCAACACAATTGAAGAAAATAAACTTACCTTTGATGCAGTTGAGATCCGGATCACTGCAGAAGTTGCATGACAGTCAGGAAAGGCCCCTGGGGGTTCCAAATCAGCACTCAAGTCCAAGGAGAAGTGGTGTGACTTCCACAAAGTCAAATCACACAACACCTCGGGGTGTCAAACATTTCAATCAGCTGGAAAAGGTCAAAAGAAGAAGGGAAAGGAGAAACACAAGGATAAAGTAAAAGAGAAGGAAAAGGCAAATATGGTGGAGCAATCATCTGGATCTGACTCCAAGGAGGAACAGAGTCATATTGCATTGGAACATGTACATATTTCCAAGCCCCTTGCTAAACACATTCAAGCTTACCTTGTGTCGGAACCTGTTAAGACCAAAACAACAATCATTGTTGACTCCGGAGCAACATCCCACATGGTCCCTCACCGCTTCTGGTTTGAGCCAGGAACATACCATGTTCTGCATCCTCCGAGGACAATCAGTTTTGGGGATGAACCCTCTGTAAATGCCATTGGAATTGGAACAGTAATCCTACAAGCAACTGTTGGCAAAAGGGACTACAATATTGCACTGTCAAATATTTTACTTGTGCCAAACTTCACTTTAGCACTTGTCTCTGTCCACAAATTGTCTAAAACGGGGTTATTAACACTTTTTCCAGCAGGGTCAAATGCTTGTGAAGTTCGGAAAAAGAAGGAACTTATCCTCACTGCCTTACACAAGTGAGGACGTTATCACATCCAAGCAAAACCTGAAATCAACCCGGAGTCAGCTTTTGCAGCAGTAGATGTAAATTTATTGCACAAAAGAATGGGACACATTGGAATGGACCACTTGCAACGAATGGTTACAAAAGGACAGCTCCAGGACATAGACACCCTTACCAGAACCCCGGAGTTTTGTGAACCTTGTGCTTTAGGAAAGATGAAGAAATCACCTTTCAAGTTCACTAGAGGAAACCGAGCCAAGCGCCCCATACAAATTGTGCACACAGATGTTGGAGGACCAATCAAACCAACCTCCAGGGAGGATTTCCGGTACTGGATTATCATTGTAGATGATTTCTCCAAATTTCCATGGATATATTTCCTAAAACATAAAAGTGAAGCACTGGAACGATACAAGCAATGGAAAGAAGATGTCCAAACATTCTTCTGGACTCATTTGGGAGAAGAAAACTTCACTCCACTGTACACCGAATTCCTCCAGAGCAATGGGGGAGGAGAATATACTGGCAATGCATTCAAAATTCAACTCCGAGAAGATGGTGTCATCCAAAAAACTACAGCTGCAGATATTCCGGAACAAAATGGCATTGCAGAACGCATGAATCAGACATTGGCTACATGAGCAACCACTATGCTCCATGATTCCAAGCTCCCAAAGTCATTTTGGGTAGATGCCATGCAAACAGCTGCATATATCACAGCACGCAGCCCAGCATCAGGACTCCATGGAAAGACCCCATATGAAATACTGTTTAAAAGGAGAGTTGATCCAACTTTGTTTTGCCCTTTCAGATGCCAAGCATATGCCTTGATTCCGAAAGACAAAAGGCAAGGGAAGTTTTACTCCAAGGGGCGCAAAGCCATAATGATTGGCTCACACATGGAAAGCAAGTGGCTGAGTTTCACTTAGATTTATTAGTACAGACTGTTGTGGAGGGTGTCTTAGCTGATCAGGTGCTCCCACTGCTCTCGGAACGTCTCCACAGAGGTATTGCCCCTGTCATGCAACTTCTGCAGTGATCCGGATCTCAACTGCATCAAAGGTAAGTTTATTTTCTTCAATCGTGTTGACTACCGATGACTGAAATATTTGCCATTCAGGAGTGCATGGGAGAGATTGGAGAAGAGTGAAGGCCATGAGTTTGGTATCAACTCCTAGTTTCATTCCGGAGAGGTGTGAATCAATTGTCCGGATTTTCACAATGTGGTCCTGGATAGGTGATGTCCCATCCCAGGACAATTTGGTGAGTTGCTGGAATGAATAGAAGGCTGAGGCAATGTTGGACGTCTGATGGAGTGAAACAAGTTTGTCAAATAACTCCTTGGAGCTGGTGAGGTCTCCAGTCCTTATTAGGAGGGCATCAGAGATGTGGTCCTGGATGATTCCATGTGCCTTCTCATCCTTAAGTATCCAGGTGATTTCAGGATCCTCTGAAGAAGTGAACTTTCCTGGTGAGGGCTTTCCTGGTGAGGGCTTAAGCTCCTCTCCAGTAACAACTCGGAGAACTTTTTCCTGATGTAGCTTTGAGATGATCCGGAGTTTCCATATCTGGCAATTGTTGGGTCCAGTGAGAACTGGACATGCGGATGTATCGTGTGCTGTGGTTATGGTTTTGAGGTTGCCGTTTCAAATGAGAATTATTTCCTGCGTAGCTTTTTCGCCACTTGGGCTCATAACCTAATAAATCTAAGTGAAACTCAGCCGCTGCCCAAGAGGCTATAGAAACGACTTTATTATTTACCTAAGTGAAACTACAATAGATGTTAGTTTAAGGTGATCTCTAATAAATGTAATGTAACATACCTCAGCCGCTGCCCGAGAGGCTATAGAAACAACTGAGGTATTTCTATACTAAACCCCCATACTAGTTATAGTCAGAGGTGCTCCTCGCTACAGTATAATGACTCCTAGGAGAACAATGGTGACTCCATGGAGAACAATCACTGCTTTAGCAGAGACTGGGTTCATCCAGTTTTGTCACTTACGGGTACTTAGCTTATGTCCCTTTTCAGTTTATTACTTGCTAGGTACATTCTTTTGAATCTTAGAGACCTTCTCTCGAAGTCTGAGTTTATTACTTGCTAGATAATTAACACTACCAGTGGATGTGGTTATTGCTATTCCTTGAGAGCTAGTAGAGCGGGTGCCTGGCTGTGAGTTTGAGTAATAATGACATTGTTTTGAAGGTGGAGGGGAAACAAATTCATCTGGTTCTGTCTCCTAGGAGGGGCAGTAGGGTTGGTTAACGCTGTGATTATTGAATCAAATCAGGAGGTGAGCTTTGACGAGAAATACAAGAAAGTGAGAGGATAACGGGCAAAAACAACAATCGTGACTTGAATTTGGGCTGACCGGGCGCTGAGTGTTCCATGTTGGGCTCACCACCTCAACATCACGTTATATATAGCTTGCATGGGTGTTATATTGATGCTGTACGGCAAGCTAACACGTTGATCACTTGGATGACTCGCTGCGATAAATGGTACTTCTAGTGCATATCACCCAGTTCGTTGGCTACAGGAAAGAATCACATTAATCACTGTGAAAAACTGGCTGAGAGGTATAGGCACTTTCAGATAAACATATACTCTGTTTTTGCACGGAATATTATCACTGCCTGCAAGTCCGTGTTATATCACCGTTACCAATGAGATCCTGTCTGTTTTGAGGCTTTACAACGGTGCGTTTATAAACATCGCAAACAAAACCCCAACTGAACTTGGGCCTATTACAGAAGGACCGAGACACTGCACTGATGACCCTATCAGACAATCTATTAACAGTGGATCCATACTAAAGTCAGGAACGGACTGAATACTTCCACTGACATCAGAAGTCAAAGCCTTCATTCTGCAGTTGACTCAACACGCAACATCGAATAACTTGGATTTACTTGAATTTGCTGAGCGACTGAACAATCTGCCATCGTCCGTGATGCGAACCTTGACCTTCAGTACCGATCGGAATTCATATGCACCTACGCAACGGGCGACACTCCTGGATATGCGAATTCGAAAGCTATGAACTGTGTTTGCTATGTATCAGTTCAAGAGGCCGCCAGTGTCAGTGAGCTTATGATCATCTGAGGTGTGGGACGGAGGATTAATTCACTGCCAGTAGTTATTTGCGCTATGTTCGGTATCAGGAGGTCGTCCTAATGTGCGACCAGATCTGTACTGATAATGAAAAGGTTGACCTAGCTCATCCGTTTAGCCGTAAAAAAAATATTATATATGCTATAAACCATCGTCCAAGAGATTGAGTCATATTAGAAAAGCGTCATGATTCAGAAAAAGAGCAATAGGAACGGTGACTTACCACGTCGTTGGAATACAGTTAACAGTGAGTAGCCTCAAGAGACAGTACGCTGTGAGAGTGATTTGCAGATAGTACACTACTTTAAAAGGCACAATTTCACGAACAGCGGCAATAACTGAAGTTAGTCCGGGTGTCTGGTGTTGTCTGCTCTCTACCTTAAAACAGCGATCGCGTCTTCGCAATGGAACGAAAGCTGAGGTTCACTGTACAATATGAGTCTGTATTGCACAGTAATGCACATTTCAAATCGCTGAATGTGAGTAATCATGAGGAAAGGTTTGTGACCAAGAATCTGAGTCGCATATCACCAATGCTATCACGTGACTAATTCGCCAGTTTCGCAGAATCAGCATTTGCTGATTCAAAAATCTGCACTTCCTGTCTGCAAAGCTGTCTTCTCGTTTCCCAGCTCTCAGAGCCCTGAGGGCATTTTCTCCCATCGCTGCAACAGCATCTATACATTCATCTAAACAACATACCCTTCATATAGAGCCAGTAATGCCACCAGTCACTAACGGAGCAGTACCACAGAGCTCGAAGATGCATTCGAAAGTTGTGCGTATCGTCATCTCACGTTCACAATTGAAGCGTTTTTTCAGCTGCGACTGCTTTCATGGTTCTAGGTAATCATAGGATCAGGACCTGCTGGTCATACTGCTGCCATATATCTCGCACGTGCCAACCTCAACCCTGTACTTTTCGAAGGCTTCATGGCGAACGGTTTTGCTGCAGGAGGACAGCTCACGACCACAACAGATGGTAGGTAGCGCATCTAATTTTAGTTTACCAACCTCCATTTTCACACTCTTTCTGCGATCTATTTCTACAGTCGAGAACTTCCCCGGATTCCCATCCGGTATCCTCGGTCCAGAATTGATGGACAAGTTCCGTGAACAATCCATTCGTTTTGGCACCAACATCATCACCGAGACGGTCGCAAAGATCGATCTATCTGCACGTCCATTCCGGTACTGGCGGGAGTACTCGGAGGAAAGTGAGCCCGAGACCGCAGACACAATCATCATAGCAACAGGTGCCAGTGCAAAGCGGTTAGGCCTCAAAGGCGAAGAGACATATTGGCAGAGTGGGATTAGTGCTTGTGCGGTGTGTGATGGAGCAGTTCCCATATTCAGGTAAATGATATTTGTCCGGAAGGTCGGTCGAGGTTGACCCACGTTACTGTAGGAATAAGCCCCTTGCTGTCATTGGAGGCGGTGACTCCGCGGCAGAGGAAGCTACATGTGGGTGTATTCTTCAACCTAATCTAAACCCATTAGCTAAACGTCCACAAGATTTGACAAAGTACGGATCTCAAGTTTATGTGCTCGTTCGTCGAGGTGAACTTCGGGCATCTAAAATTATGGCTAAACGCTTGATGAACCATCCCAAGGTTGTGAGTAGTTTCCAGCACTTGTTCACATGTACATTTCTTATCATAAATGCCAGACCATCCTGTGGAACACTGTTGCGACTGAATGTCAGGGTGACGGCGATCTTTTGAACAACCTCCGAATCAAGAATATCCTGACAGGCGAGGAGAAAGACCTTCCTGTGCGTGGATTGTTCTACGCCATTGGACACGAACCCGCGACTGGCCTTGTTCGGAATCAGTTACAGACAGATCCAGATGGCTACATTATCACCGTGCCGGGGACGACTCAGACGAGTGTTAAGGGCGTGTTCGCCGCTGGAGATGTACAGGACAAGAGGTACAGGCAAGCGATCACAAGTGCAGGAAGTGGTTGTATGGCTGCGCTGGAGGTTGAAAAACTGATTGCAGAGGAAGAAGAAGGTTTCGACGATGATTAGTGCGATATATACTGTGTTTAGTATTAGATTGTTCGGAATTACGACTGACTTTTCTTCACACATACTCATGTTTTTTCCTGGTGACAAAGGATATACTTGAACCTTGCAACTTGTGTGGAAACCATGAGTAAGATGCAATGACATGAGCCCAGCGATCGTTCAATTTTGCAGGTCCGATGTTGCGTGGCTGTGCCGCACATTTGCCTCCACCGCCGGCAACTTGTTAATTTCCCGACGCGGGGCGGGGAAAGCAGCACTTTAACTACAAGAACATGGGTTACCCGAACATCATGGCATACCGTGTCGGAGACTGCGCACAACGCCCAGGCTATATATGAATTCACATTCGTCGCATCTCTTACATCCAAACATCCTCCTCTTCATCTCTCCAACAAAACCATGTCCTTCTCGCAGAACGATATTCCTGATCTCACGGGGAAAATAGCGATCGTTACTGGTGGAAACAGTGGCATCGGAAAGCAGACCGTTTCTGTCTTGCTGTCCAAAGGCGCCAAGGTGTATGTAGCAGCACGTTCACTGGACAAGGCGAAACAAGCCATCAAGGAATTGCAAGAGACCCGGCCGGAAACGAAACGAGGGTTGGTCGAGTATCTCCAACTCGATCTTTCGGAGGCTAAGAAGGCCAAAGCCGCAGCTCTCCAATTCAGACAGTAATGATTTCATTATCTTTCTTTTGGAGCTTTCCTTCATTGATGCGGTGTCGAGTGCAGGAGAGAGTCCCGCCTCCACCTTCTGTTTAATAATGCCGGCATCATGGGCGTTCCCAAAGGCTCTCGGTCTCCTGATGGGTACGAACTCGTAAGTGCATGCTTTTCACTACCTTCACCTCCTCATGTTTTCCTCGTGTCCCTATAGCAATGGGCCACAAACGTGCTAGGCCCATTCATATTTACACATCACCTTATCCCAGTTCTCCGAAACACAGCCGCCATTTCTTCCCCGGGTGATGTCCGTATCATCAACACTTCTTCATCCGGTGCGGGTCAAGCTCCGAAAAAAGGAGAGCCCATTCCTTTCAGTGACTCTACGGTGGGCGCGGGTGAAAACCCTGCTTCGCCATCAGCTTGTTATGGCCATGGAAAGCTGGGCGGGATTCTATGGACGAGGGAACTAGCGATGCGGTACAAAGACATTTGGAGCTTCGCTCCGCATCCAGGGCCCGTCCAGAGTGATTTGATTAGGCACATGGGAATTCCTGGTCCTATCGTCTGGGTGCTGAACGTATGTCTGCAAACATAGACCATTGATATTTTTGCTAACAGTTGATGGTCATGGCATGCTTGTTTAGCGAATCGTATTCAAGCCTGTTGAATATGGTGCTCTTACTCAGCTATATGCTGGTACAAGCCCAACTATCACCGCGGACAAGAGCGGGATGTTCCTTGTTCCACTTGCGTGAATCCCCATTTTGAACTTGTAACCTCAAAATTGAAAATAAGGGTACTTGACGCTGATGTCCTTGTTGTACAGACAATTCACGGATAATCTCCCGCATCCAAAAGCAAATGATGATGCGCTGCGGAAGAAGGTTTGGGACTGGTGTGAGGAGGCAATGAACCAACACGGTGCTGGCGATGATTAAAAATGTGCCGCACCACATGACCGAAAGAAGCGTATGTTGATTTTGTACCTGTGTAATCATATGGATTCATATGGACTTCATGATCTTAATATACTTACCTCCGACCTCGTGCCATATCAGCTATACCTCTTTCAGCTTTAATTAGTGGTCGCATTTGTCTACTCTCCCCCAGATTGGCTGGAATTACAATGTCATACGTATCTTATCTCTTGTCATGCTGGCGTTTGCGGGCGCTCTCTCTGCCATCACAGGTCGGGCAATGAGCCCAGCCTTGAAAAATTTCTCAGCTTCTTCCCTCACATCCGCCATGCGAAGCCAGTAAGCTCTGGGCAATATGCCTTTTCCAAACCTTCTCGTGACATGATTAGCGCACAGCAACGCCACAACAATCGCGAGAATGTGCAACGGAACGAGCGAAAAAGTGGCAGACCAGATCGTTGCCAACTGCATTCGCTCGAAACGATACAGCTTTCCTTTGCACCCCGGAAGGGACGTGCGAGAGTAGCACCGTGCACTGGGGGAGGCATCGTGCAGGGGACTGTAATATCCGCAGCAACCCAAGGACTCTTGAATGAGCAGTCGGCCGTAGGGGGTATAGTACTGGCTCCATGCGAGATCGAGCTTGCGATCGAGGGCGAAGGTGGCGCGTTTGTATGCAGCATACCCAACCGCAAGGAGTGCTATCAGGGCGGGCCAAAGGAGGAGGGCGTAGATAGCGAGGATGGGGCGAGAGTTCAGGAGAGTGCCTGAGAGACCGACCACAGCGGAGAGCACGAGGATGCACCCTGCAAGTGTGAGGAGAACAAGGATGTCGTAGTCTGCGACGTAGGTTACGTCGGCGTGTTGCCAGGCTGTATCGGTGGGAAAGTGGTGTTAGTATAGTTGATGGTCCGGAATCAGGATCAGACAGGACGGAGAAGGGAAAGGCTTACCTCTAAACCAGGTGATGATCGCGAGGATAAGGCCAGTTATGCCGTAGGCGAGGACAATGATCACGGAGAGAAGGAGAAACCATTTATGAATTGTCCAGCGTTTGATTCGCTCGACGCCAAGTCCATAGCCTCCTTCAAGCGCGAGTGCAACAGCCCTGCCAGATTGATTTTCTTTAGCAGTATAGCGCTGACTTGTGGAGAGCGATCGTACAGACTGTAGACGTGGCCATTTGTGCGTGAATTTGTGGGTAGTGCTGAGGGAGGGAATAATTGCGTGATGTACAGAGGCGGCGAATACGCCTTTTGGGTGGCTGGACCCAGAGTTGGAGAGATGACGATCTGTGGATAAGAATGAACGTTTCGTTTTACGCCCTATCTTGGACAAAGGACCGGTTAACACTTCCGAAAGCGATGATGGTGGTTGAATTCGGTCAAATGGGAAGAAACTAAGTGCCCGGGAGAAAAGTGAACCAGTGGAATATTTTTTCTTCGAAGGAGTTGTGTAATCAGGGGTTGGCAGACGAGGTGAATAGAACCTGTGGCCTGTGACAAATGGGGCTGGGTCCGAGTGCAAATTAACTGATGTGGTGGGCGGTGCGCTGATGTACTGTTCTGGAACAACTGAGGCTGGTTTGTGTGAGGAAGAAGACTCGATTGACCCTCCGAATCGTGCCGATATCGCGCGAGGGAAATGATCGTGGAATGCCTGAACAACTCCTCCCTCGGGAGAGGAAGCTGTATGTTCTGCGGTCACCAGTCTGATGGTAGTTACATTTTCTGTCCCGCGGATATCTATGTCATCTCGTTCCTGGAGAGCTGGATGGTTGTTCTCCGATTCGGTGGTGTCAGAAGAGAGACCATCAGCAGACCTCGATGATGGAAGTTTTCTTTGAGTTGACCGGCGACGAATGGATGTCTGATTCGGATTTTCGAGCGTAGTGGATGGGTGGCGGCGCTGCATAGTTTGATAGTGTAACATTGCTTACCTGTTAGCCTCCAGATCGTGTGATGGCCCGGGCAAATGAGCGCTATGGCTGGGCAGCCAGAAACAGAATCCTTCGACGCATCAGCAGACACCCTGTTTGATACCACAGTTTAGTAGCGAGTTATTCATTTTTCCTTGCGCAACCCAAGTACTAGTACATATCGTAGGAAGGATTTCACTGAACTTGCTGAGGATCATGATAGAGCGGCTCTAAGGTCGGCGCCACACTGTCTCTATATGGTCAGTCAAGAGGTTCCACTGGCAAGTCAACGGTTAGCTAGTCCTTACTCTTACTTCAACTAGCCATCCACCACAGCGCGGCTTTGACGCTGTATCTGGCCTCTAATCCCCCTATTGATGCAAAAGGTCACCCAAAGCAGACTCAAATACGTCCGAGCCTAAGTTGAAACGAGCTCTCCGAGGATTTCTGTGGTGATGCAGTTGATGAAAATGGCCAGGCCCGGGGTTATTTTAGCCTTGCCCTGATCTGTATTTATATGCACGCAAAACTCATCAGGTGAAGCCCTCAAAATGCGGAATATCACAAAGAGCTCGAATCCAAATAGTTAATAAATAATCAGTAACTCCGATGGACTGTTGACTTTTTCTCTACTGTATGTTTCCGGACTCCTCGAGCCTATCACCCCCATTTTTGGAAAGTGACTTATTTGTGATTGTGGTTTTCCCCCAGGTCCGCGATACTCTCACATCCCCACAGCATTGGAGTGTACTGAACCATTGACTTCTAGGCACTCCTGTTGACGTAGATGTGGCCCACCTTCATACTTTGTCCTTCCAATCTTGTATTGGATTGTTCTTCTATGAATTTATTTTGACAGATCTGACGCTGCTGTGCTGTTCCATTTCTAACACAGGTACTCGTTTTCTGGACTGTATATTCCTTCTACTCAGGGAAGCACACGTTCATGCGCTGTTTAGTCGTCTCACCCCGGAACACCCCCATTACCAGTGCACCAACAGGGCTGGGACATAATGTCATAAGCGCTGCAGCTCTCCGATGCTATTCTCGTTGACTGTGGAATACAATGAGTGCTGTCTTGGCGCATTTTCACTCTCGCTCTTCTTTCTATATGATCGTACACGCCATACTACGAAGGCTGAAAATATAACGTCACCATCACTACGGTAAGTATTCCTTGCTTTGGATGTAAATGCCCCAGACAAAACGGTTGGAAGGTCGATGAACAGTCATCTCGAATCATTCGGCGGATCGGAACTTGTCGTCCAAGAGCCCATTCTTTTCAGGCGTGCATGGAACAATGCTGACTGGATTTGCGATGCTCTATAAAATAACTCCTCAAGTCCCCTTTCCTTTCCATTTCTCCTTTATCTTGTAATGTCTATACTTTCATCTCCCCCAGACCACTTGACATCTGCTGTGTCCGCCCATTCCAGCAGGCCGATACGATGGTCAGCCATCATTGCCATCTTACTCGGATTAGGTGAGTCTTACACCGTTGTGGACAACTACGTTTCTAAATCCCCTTCCAGCCGCTCTTTCGCTTGTCCTATACTATCTGCACCTACGAGCCAGGGGCTTTGTCTGTATATTTGGTACGTTCTTTGTACTTGGTTGCATAACGACACATTCATTGGCCAGGGAAGTTATACCAGAATGGTATACAAGGCTTCGCGCTCAATGGTTTACGAGAGCAGAGTCGCTATTGGCGCGGCTGCCGATGATGGAAGAACTCAGATGCACGTTGAGAAAGCGACGGGACGAACACACACCCCCTTTCTTTCCACCCCAACATCGACCATTGACCGGGCAGACCACCTTGCGCAGATACTGATGTGGACCCTCAATGTGATTTGTTCCTTATGCAGCGGCCATTGATGATGGATAATGGGGTGATAACCGGCTGAGTGGAAGATCTCGAGTTTCCATTAGTTCCGGGTCGTAGAAGAGTGCTGTAATATCAAGATCAAGGCGTGGGTTTCACCCTTCGTGGTATCGAGTGCAATTGTAACGTAAGTCTCAAGGACATCTTCCGCAGTCGCATCAAACACTAGCAATTTCACATTTTCTCCCCTGTTCTCTGGCGCTTGTTTCTGTTTGACACGTTCGTCCACCTTGTGATGCAGAGAATTTATCCGCTCACCGTCAAAATGTTTCCTTCTGCGACTGTAGCCTTATGGTAAGGGGACACTCTGACGGAGTACATCAATCGTCGATAATCAGTGTTAATGGAGAAGAGTCGTCCAGAATGTCCAAGCCTAGTGGGACCCTCCTCCAATGGCAATTATATTTATCTGTCAAATTTATGTATTCTCATTATCCTGATAAGATTCTATGTACCTACTATAGGCCTATCGGCTACGTTGCCGCGTCTTAATAAATACGTGTAGGTCCATATTTATACACTAGATTCTCATACATCGTCTCGTAACGGTCATCACATGCTTTTCTGTATCTCATTGGCTTTCTTGTTTTACCATATCGTCACTGGCTATCGTTCTCCTTAGCTCTGCGACTGCTTCATCACAAGGCCGAAGTTCGCCGAACAGACAGCGAATATTAAATGTAACAAAGCTGAGTTTCAAAATATAACTCACGGCGCGAGGCTCAAAATGGATCCGCTCTCACGGAAGCACTTACCCTCGACGTTTCGCTTCCCCTCGCCGAACATTGGTAGCTATTTGTTTTTATATGCTGAAAAGTCACTGTATGACGGATAGCACACATGATACCCACAATCAACAATTCCTAGATCGTGGTCCCAATGAATCATTTGAAGCTCTGATCGATCTGCTCGCATCTGATGATATTCTGGAAGACATTCGCCTCAGCTCTCCCCAGTCAAATCCTCGCGATCTCAGAGACTCTGATGGGAGACTTGACTTTGAGAAGATCCGTTCTTTTTTCTCCACCAAGAATCGTAATCTCTCGACGGCTACATCTCGTAAGATCACAGAACCCGTGGTTGCACAGGATCTCAATCTGGTAGCATCCACGCCATTGGTAGTATGTCTATCTTCTTTACGATCCATCTTCTATCCCCAATACAATATCCAAATGATGAAGTGCATAAGCTGATATCACATCCTCAGGGTCCTAGCAACCCTACATTGGAAGTGCTCGAGGCTCCATTGCTGTCCCGTCTCTCAGATGTCGCGCTATCCGGAAAGCCATCCGTGAGCCTGTTTCCCTGTGCTGATCTGCCCCCCACCGCTCAACCCGATGTCCATGGAGTCCTCGTAAGTTTTCACCATATACAATGAATTTAGCGTCTCATGTCTAGTTCACTTTTTGCTCAAAGCAGCTCCCGAAGGTGTGTGATGCGCGCTTCTCGTTGTTACCCTCCCAACTTCTTGTGAACATAGGCCGCAGAATCAAACACCCATCCCGTGAACTGTAATGTAGGTAGAGCATCCATCGTCTTTCATCACTCATCAGCAGTTACTCACTAGCATGCACAGCTCGACCCTGCTTGGTTAACGAAACCTCTGGAGTTTACACCCTTAAATCAGGCTTTGTTGGCTGCAAGAGCGGAGACCGATGATCTACGAGCGCAATATGAGAAGCTACAGGCGCTCCTGTCAAAAGACCCTCCTCAAGCGCATGATATGCAACCTCCCTATGAAAGAATAGAAGACACGTGTTGCTCTACGGATATCATATCTTCTCCGCCTACAGAGCCGCCTTTTGGTCCAGAAATAGCGAGCCTTTCAGAGAACGATGCCAAGCGAACTCTTGCGGTAAGTGCGGCTGATAGTAACTGAACTATAGAAGCTTAGTATATTCGGTTAGGTTCTATTCAAGGAGCTTTCCATTCCATCGTCGTTTCTGTCTTCGTATAGGAATGTCGAATCGCAGCTTGCCCCCGCTTTTTCGGAAGACGACGTGGCTGGCAATATCACACATGCCATGCAATTCCTGACTCGTGTAGATGAAATCGTGTGGCACAGGTCTTCACACGCGTATAGGCCTGGCAGCTGCCCACCATCCGTTTTCAGTGAAGCTAATGTTAACGCACTCCTTGATCGAATCGCACTTTGGGAAAGGGCCTTCCGTAGGGAACGCAGAGTTTGAGTTTTAAACCGTTGATTTAGCAATGATAGCTTGTCAATGAACAAAACTGCGGTCCTTTGTCTTCGATTCATGTGTGGTCTTCGCTTGGTCTTCGAGCACTATGTTTACATATCATCTCCACCCCCTGCAATAAACCTACTATCCTTCCATTGAACTTTCGCAACATCGCCTATACCCAGGAGTCATAGCATCAACAATGCCTCCGCGCAGTCAAACGGCCTAAGAGTGGCTATACTCCGTGTGCGGCACTTGCGCAACCTGCAGAGCCGGGCTTGCATATACTTCAAAATATCCCTGTCCCCACGCCACTGCCACGCTCTAAAGCACTTTGAATTTTTTTTGGATCACCCCTCTTGATTTATCCCCCACCATCATATTTTCATGACCTTCCACGGGTTCGATGGCAACTGTGCAAGCTCAATCGCAGCTATTGAGTGAAGCACCGCGTTAAGATCCGCTTTCAGAGTGGTTCAGGATGGATTACAGGTTACCTGTATTGGACGTCTTTGTGGACCTCCATCATGATATAATTCATTCATCCTGATGATCCCTGAGATCTCATGAGGGACTGATTTCGAAGAAGTGTATTTCTGCTCCGGCATTACATTACGTTCACGGAAAACAGAACTGGCGGTATACTGTTGGCGCGAAGATCTACGGCAAATCTCGACGTCTGTGTATTTACTCCGCTGAACATAGCAAGTTTTCGCATTAAAATCCATGAAACGTCTCATGTCCTAGATGAGCATTTTACTCTGAAGAGAAATGCCAAAATGTAGGGGGCTCCTTCCACTGCATCGCGTGTGGGTGTCTTAGCAACGAGACGAACCCTTTACTACCTTCACTACCAATTGTGGTTCTCCAGCTGGGTCCTCGTTGGAGTGGGCCGACATCGTCGGATGGTGCTGGCGTCACTGTAAAACAACTATCTCCCGTCAGTTCGGCTCTTCCTGGGAGTTGGCACGACTTCAATGGGAAGTTCTTACTCGCATGACTGTAAGGAGATAATTGCCTACATTCCTGTTACCTCGCGAAAGGACCTTTCCTGCATGACAAGACGGGGCAGAATCGTTTCAGAGGCTATGCCGAGCTCCCAGCAGTCGGGCAGGCGTGATATTGGCTAGATTGTACCCAGTATTTCAGATTGAGGGCCGCCAATCAACTCAACTTCTGGAACGATTCCAAGGGATTATTGACGGCGGCAGGCCGTGCGTGTCGGACTAGATTTAAGAGAACTGCGATATCTCCCATCGAGATGTCTTCCTTATAGCGCTCGCTTTCTAGCGCCAACGTCTGGCGTTCGGCTAAACCGAGTTTCCACTGGCACAACACAAGACCCAGGACATGCGCCCGTTGCCCACCCGAAGAACGCTTTTAGGAATAAGCCTCTTTGTTAAACACGCAGCTCTTGCAGTAAGTCTTATCAGTGGTTATCAACCCGAAGTTTGATAGTAATTTATCTAAGCCGTTGTTATGTGTGCCCTATTGTGAGCTTTCCCAGAAAGCAGTGTTCTATTTCAGCGATGATCTCCTTTTAAACTCGTTCGGTGGCTATCAACCACAGCCTAACCCACTGGCACTGGTATCTGCATCTGCACTCCACCCAAGCTTGGGCCACACAGGTCTCTCCAAGCTCACAGTTCTCAGGACAAGATAGCACAGCCATTCATTTAGGTTCCTTACGAGAATATTGAGATGGACCCTCTCATCCCAATCCCCCGATATGCCATGGTGCTTGAGTATGAATTTCCACTTACTATGTACCTGTCCAGTTCCTTGGGTTTATTGCGGCTGAGTAGGCACCCAGGTGACTATATAAAAAATTAAAAAAGATGATTTATCTGACGTTTTCCACCCAATATGCGTATGCCCGTGCTCCAGTCTTTACTAGGACGCTCAACGTCCGTGCTCATATTGTCCGAGTGTTTGTCGTCCACTCCAGATGCTCACGCCACCGAGAAAGTGCAGTGGAAGACGGTTGTTGGAATCGTGCTAGGCTTAAGTGAACCAGATCTAGCAATGATGACCTACGGTTTGCTGACAACTTCCCTACAGACTGTTTTTTTTCTGTACTATTTTATTACCGCTTCTGGGAACAGGAAGGAAGGGGGCTCCATTGGTTCTTCCACATTTTAAGTACGTCCTGCGATTGCCGGGATAACAATTCACACCATAATCAGACGCTACCAGAACAGTCCCTTAACCGTCTCTCAACATTTCTTCGTTTATCCAGAGGGACAGAGACAGACATATCCCAGCCGTCCGCAACTCAAACGGGGTGTGGGTCTGCGCCCCAGAGCGTGGGGACGAGGGCTGAGTCGCAGATTCCTCTGACTCCGGCGCCCTCATACAACGAAAACCTTCCTCGCTATTCTGTGGCCGATCCTTATCCTCGAGTTCCTCCGAACCCCGAAGAGGGAGCTTGAAGTAGGATGGTAGCCAGTACACCCTAACTGTTCAGTGTTAGGTCCGGAAATATTTTTCTTTTGACATGCCTGCATTGTGCAAATAGATTTTTGAGCTTGCACACACCATACTCTTGTGGCCAATGTGGCTCTTCCCTGCACTTAATCACGTCTCTTTCAAGTCGTAATGATACCCTTCCACATTGACGTAGATGTAGTATGACTAAATCACAACACTCATTGTATTGTGGACTATGGGCTATGGTACCTTTGATTTTCTCTGACAATGTGAGCTCTATCAAAATCTATATATGTTTTAGAGATAAACCACTGCATAAATGGTATTGGGGCGGCGCGGACTGGGCGGAAATACAATTGCACAGCCTTCGCCCGCTACCAAGTAGAGCTAACCTCCGAGTGGTCGCTGCCAAATACTTGCAGTATCCTCCAAGCACAGTGTTGCAAACGCAATAACAGCTTGAACATAACATGGTAGATATTTGTAAAGGAATAAGTAAGCTATTCCTTCAAATTGTATACGCGTATGAATAGCAATTTTTCTAGCAGACGTACCCCATACTACAGCTGCATACAGGCTCAAGATATTTGCAATATGACACCCATCAGCTAGGCGCACAAGTTGAGGGGGGAAGAGGCGCTATCCTCCCACCATGAGCATCAAACTGGCGCCCAGAAACCTTATTGATGCCACTCAAGGCCACTTACCACAACGTCAACATCATACGCGGTCTTCTTCAAGTTTTACCATACACTTCGTGCGTCGTCGCCCTTTTTGGTCCCACCCTAAAATGTCTTTCATCATACGGCATGTTTCTCTGTGATACCAGTGTGAAAATTTGTCACCATTTTTCACTTGTTGCGTCAACTGACCAGATTACTGCAGCTAGGCCTGCCTTCATGAATCAGGTCACTGGATTCGCGAACCGTACTCCCTGTGTCTCTCCCGAGTAAAGAACCATGTCTTCTCAAAATAGCCAGAGACCACTGGAATCATGCAGACACCTCAGCTCTCACCTTTACAATGTCGTGTCGTGTCTCTATCCACTTTACAGCAAGTTAAAGCGCTCGGGCCGTATATAAATCTATATACTCAAACATGACCGAACCGCAGCTGCTCCCTCCCTCAGTCACTCCCAAAGCATTTTACACAACAATCTTTGATCTGGTATGCCCTCCATGTGCTTTATAGGTTGATCCACAACGATATCCGATTGTCGTAATTCCATATCCAAATCCTGAACAAAATCAGTGTCGTTGGATCAGGATGGAGTACTTTGTTCCAGCCCCTACAGGTACTAGCCAATTCTGGTTGCCCGATATTTCATAGGAGCTTCGAATTCCAAAGCATGTTCTAAGCCTCCCATTCCTCGGTGAAAGAACACGTGTATATCCCCAACGCACGCTGAGAAATGGCCCAGCCATTTACCTATATATCCCGACACATCCGCATCAAATCCTACTCATTTCTGTGGGCATCACACACGAGTCTACTGACATCAAATGGACACATCATCCATTCAATGCTACCCTGAAAAACACAAGGTTCTTCACCGTGCACAGTGCTTTGGTAACGAACAGAGGCTTATAGAGCTTTCATTTCCCTTCCGTGGAATCACCCTAAACGTCAGTGTTTGGGCAGCGGATGCTATCCGCGTGTCAAGCCACAGCCCTGTAATCCCTACAAGGTCTCGCGCAATCCCCACTGATGCAGGCCTTGACAAACACAGCGGCTCAAGGTCGTCATTCACGTAGCCTTCCGCAGCTTTACAGCATCTATTGAACCCGTCTTTTATGAAGTGGCTGTCGTACTATGTCCCTGGTCCATAGAAAAGGAGTGGTTCTGACACAACATGCCTTCTGGAGCCGGCCCTTTGACCCGACCCAGAAACTTGTACATTCTGGAGAATTTGCACTGCACCTCACTGAGCAACACCGACAGCGCAACTAGCCTGCAGGCCTGCAGGTGCTTTAGAATTCTGCCACAGGACTGCCATCAATAATAGTATGCACAAGCACCAGCGCTTGCCCGGCCCAGCAAATTAAACGTAGAGTTCGGTACCATATTCTTTTGTGGAACTGGCCTTCGACTCGTAATTAATGACTTCACCATGGGTGTTACTCCATGAGTTCCCGCAGTAAATCAGTTCATCAGTGACCATTGATAAGAAGATGTACACCGTTGGATGTTACTGTGGACATTCCCAGAGACGCTAACTTGCCCGATGGATTCCCGATTTCCATCGTTTTACGAGAAGCTATCCGTCTACCATACAGGATTAGGCTCATCTCGATCACGCAATGAACAACCACCGTTAGCTCCCTTATCGACTTCTCATAATATTGACATGTGCACCAGGGTACAACTTACTGTTGTGTTCAAAACCCAAATGAAATCTAGTGTCTTTGGCCACTTCTTAGCCGTTCACCCATGTTTTTTGATCGCCAGTCGTCCGGCTCATTGCTGCAATAAGCAAGTCTGTATATTATCTTATATATTCTTAATAAAGAACTGGATTAGGCGCCGAGTCCCGTGACATTGGCATGCGCACAAGCCTCATGTTCTCCAACGTGTTGTTACCGACAAACCGACACTGATCAGGGGCCAGATTGGGCTTATTAAATGGAAATCTATGATAGACCTGCACCGGTTATGAAGCCATATCACGCAGTATAAAGAATGGTCTGTTCTCTTTCTTTGCGCCCATGCCATGGCACCCACTATGCTTATGCCCATTATCTCACCTCCTGCAGAATGCTCGAGGTGTAAATCTGTTGCATCCAGTCCAGTCTCTCAGCTCATAAATAAGATACAGTGGTTCACAATATTGGGTATCGTGCTAGTCCTATGTGAGTCACGATTTGGTGATCCATGCCCACACTCCACTAAGACGTTTCACGTAGTGTCTTTTTTAACCATAATATTTTATCTGTATCTTGTGCAACAGCAAGGAATGGAGGGCAGGTTTTTCTTACATTTATTACGTGAGTTTCTTTTGTATAATGGAACGATAACCCCCACTAACAAAACTCTACCTTAGAACATCGCCCGAATGTCTTTCATTACCGGTCCCAGAGGACGACAGTTCCACCACGTGTGCGACGCGAACGCCTGTCACGGAACGCTTGGCTTCAGTCCCTTCGTCTCCATATGGCCTCGTCATTCTATCAAGGTCCCCCTCCCCGTGTTGTGGTTGATCCACCTATCGAGCTTCTCCTTGAAGGAGACAACATTTGAAGAGAGCCGGTGACTAGTCCCGACATAATCATTCGACGTTAGATCCAGTTTGTCGTTGTCGCTGTTGTTGATGCCTCGTCTTATAATGAGAGAGCGTAAATGTTGAAGGTACCATAGCACGAGAGCATTGCTAGTATTAGTTTTTTAGATTAGCATTTTAGGCTCGATATGAGCTGAAATAACACGTATTTTATTTACACAGAGTTAAGTAATGATTGATGAGCCGTCGTAGCTGTGATATGCATATCATAGCTCTATAAATATGGGCTGACTCATGAGAAGTATTGTCTGAACCTTTTGTGCCGATGAATACTATAGTACGTATATTACACTTTACTGGAATGTATGCAGTGTGGATTCTGGAAGCTTTACGTATGCGCGGACTTTCTTATATTTCATTTCCAATTCGGAACCAAAAACATAGCGACTCGGATTGTTGCAATCTAATCATCTAAACCACTGGCACCTGCTTGTGTGACTGGGAAATTACGCCCGGTTAATCATCGCAGTAACGTGCTTTTGTTCTTCGCCGTTGGTTATGGGCTGTCACCTTCAAGTTGGGCCACCTGTTATCCAAGCCAAATTCCTCGCGAAACTCGTGTTTGAAAAAGCGGTGGGCAACGTGTTTTCCTGGTTTTGACCACTACCTCTGCGTTCTATGGAAGGATTTCTGATCCGACATGCAAAGTGTTCATTTCGGGATCGAACATGAACATAACGTGTACTTCTGATCATGAGTGTAAGGATGTAAGCATGCTATGGAGTGAGCGTGGAATTTGCCGATATTGCATACTCATTCATCAACATCAACTTTGACTAGTCTCCCCAGTCAGACCAAATTACTGATATGACAGTTGACAGGCACGCTACTGTTATAAACACGCTTGTTCTTTTATGTGCATATCTGCGACAGTAGCGGCGACGATGCCTGTCGCATTCACTGCAGTTCTAGCCTTTCTTTTGTTACATGGCCATGATGGTAGTTCCTTTTCGAAGGGCGTATCTTTGCATAAGTATGCTATCATCTGGCCTTTCTCGAACCACATTTACAAGGGAGACTGATAGCAACTTCTCCGGTAGACGTACGGCACAAACGCTGGGTATTCTCAATCTGTCGTACTGCCTCGTCAGGCAACCAACTTGAAAAGTACTGTTTTCCCACCATGAGCACTAACTTTCGCCTAACCTTTCATCGATAGCTTCTGATATCCTACTGGCTTTCAATGTTTTCCATCCAATCAGCAGGCGAACATGACAGGATATACAAGCACTTTTTGGCAACCTTCATTGCCTCACTTTTGTCACGCAATCCTCCTAGAATCATGGAATACTCCAGTACGAGGCTTGACTTTTTGGAACCCGAAGGACACTACTGTAGCTCAAGAGGAAGAGTCCTCGTTGGCTGTACCCCTAGCGGTACCTTAGATATCTTCGACCTCATGCCTATCTACTCACATAACCAACCTCATACAGCTTGTTTGGATTGATTCACATCTTGTCATCCTTATTGTGGCATCATACTGCGTACTTCCCTGTGACGCTAGTGTGAGTACTTGTCGTAGTTTTTGTTACTTGTTGCATCTACTGATCAAGTTGCTATAGCTAATCTCTTCCCTATGAGCCAGATCTCTGGATCCACGAACGATACTCCCTGCATCTGTCTCGAGTAAAGAGCGATCTCCGAAATTATTTCTCAGAGTCAGCTGGATTCCTGCAGACGCCTCAGCTTGCATCTTTACGGGTCTACGCCATGCATCTGTTTTCATTACATTGACGACACTGCCATTTCCCATCAGCTACAACACACTTCTTCAACAGCAAACGAAATTGTCCGGGTTAGATGTGTATGTTTGAATCGGATATGTTCTCTTTACTGTTCCCACATTACTAGTGTTCTGCACTTCTCTCGGCTCCTACCAACCAATCCTGACAGCTCAATTTCGGAATGAATACCAGTTCCCAGGGTAGGCGCTGTTGTTCTTCCCGACCTCAACGCCGAACAGACGCCCAGAAATGCCCAAGGGCTACGCATTGCGCCCACATGCGCACGAATTACGCTCACGTCGTAAGTCCTTCAGATTACGTAACTCTAAATGAAATCAGATGGTTACACTTACTGACAGAATCTCTGATTACTTCGCACAGGCATGGTCACTCTTCATTTTGCACAGTTAATAGCGTGGAGAGCCATACGAACCTTTCAGCTTCCTGTGGATTGACCCCATACAGTAACGTACAGAGTTGTCCGTGCATCAAGTTAATGTCCCGTGATTCCTCGTAAGGTCTTGCACCAAATTCCGTTAATTCAGTGCTTGCCAGAAGCGTCACACGGCAATGCTCAAAGGGTCGCCGGTCAAGGTGATACAGCAAAATCCATCCTGTGAAGTGGGCTGTCCTAAGCTGTCCTCGTACGTCTAAGTCCCTAAGACGGGTGCTTTTCTAACAGAATATGATCTCCAGCATCCTCAAACTCAAATAGGTTCTGTCGTTCGGGCCCAACCTCTGGCACTTACTGTACTGACCAAAAGAAGAACACTGGCCGCAATAGTTTGCCTGAACAACGCTGTAACCAATGAAGAGGAGCTTCAGAGGCTCACAACAAACCCGTTCCCCTCGGTGCTACCCTCAATCTCCAGTGCCAAGCTCCGGGATCAGCAGATAGAATCTTTACACACTTTGTGAAATCTGATTCGGTGCCTTGAAATGGATTGATATTTTGGAATTAACTGGTTCATCCGAGGAGGTTGCCTCAGTGAATCGTTGTGGTGAGTGTGGTAAACGACTGTGAATTCAGCATAGAGCCACTTTAATGCGCCTTCGTTGGTAGACGCTATCGTAGCAACAGAGACGCCGTCCTCTTGCCTGGTGGACTCGGTGATTCCCTTGTCTTTGAGGAGAAAACTGTTCTCGAAGGCCGCGCTTTCCGTCCTTTCTTTTTGCTGCGCAGAACGTCTGGTTTAACGCAGAATGCCACATGCGTATGACTGCTATACGGCCTCATTGTTTAATGGAGCAAGGACGAATGGCCCATGGGAAGCCATGAAGGCGTCTCTTCACCTTACAAGACCAGATTGATTAGTAACTAGCTTCCTTATCATATTTCCGCTGTTGTGTGCGCTTTAGGGCCGGTTATGCCTCAATCAACTCCCTCCCCTTCCCACCCATTTCTTTCTTCTCTGCCTTTTCCCGATGAAGCATGGCGGAAACCATATGCTGTTTGCAAAGAAGGATCAAGAACCCTGACTGATACAATCTGCCGTCAAAGGCGTAATGAGCAGTGCCACCGACTTGAGGGGGTGAAGGGTCAGTTAGTGGGAATTTGATTGTTTAGATCTACAGTTGGATTGATTTGGGTTTACTTGGATCTACTCCGGTCGGTGAAATATAAAGCCCACACTCTTTTGTTTTTCTGTGTCTTACACCCATCGTAGTACTCATGCACATACTCTTATCTTTACCGCAGCATACAACGCACGAGCCCATGGCGTCCACCTCGGTCGTCTCCTCTCCAGTCACTCAGCTCACAAGTAAAATTCAGTGGAACACAATTGTAGGCATTATACTTGGCCTAGGTACGCGACCCGATCCAGCCGCACATTCCACAGTCTAATATATCCCTCCTCCTCCTTAGTCTGTTTCTTGTCTATGATATTTTTCCTGCACCGCGTACAACAGACAGGGATGGGGCTCACCTGGATTCTCCGTGTATTCAGTACGTCCCTTGCACATGGTGGAACTATGGTCTGCTCAGCGATGACATGATGTTCCAGGACCGTTCCGTGATCTGGCGTCTCTCCGGCCGCCTGCAGCTCAATCTGTTACGAGGCGCAGGCGCAGGCGCCAGAGACGTGGTACCTGGGTTGACACGCTCCCTGTGACCCTAAGGCCAACGTTCGAACCCAGTCCCCCTCCATATGCCATGGCCGATCCACGCCCTTCCGTCTTCCTCGAAGACGCTCAGCGTGGGGTGACAACCAGCCGAACGTAAATGCTCGGTGCTAGACTTGATTTCTTCATTTTAAATGGCGCGCTGTTAATGTCCCTTACAGGTACGTGAATACCGTCAGAGCTTTGCGCTATTAACGCGTTTTATTCTAGGCACTGGATTTGATCTTTATCGTAGTGGAAGAACAAGTATTTTATTAGCGACAGCCCTTCTTTCGCAGAACTCGTGTTGTACGCTGTAGATCACAGCCTCATGGAAAGGTTCCATTTTTGCAGTAGTGTGTTCTGAAGACTCGTTATTGAGGCACGTTCTGATTGAATGAGATTCCCCTCGGAACAGAGCACAGCAACGTCTCCAAAGTCTGGCACTGGGCGCCTCTTGGCCCTTTAACCCTACCGAATCCCGCTCCCCCTTTACATTAATATTTCTTATGCCCTCTCGGTCCATCATTCATTTTTTTTTTTTTTTCAGACATAGCCTTCATGGCTGGCACGCCCCAGGTTCATTACCTATAGACTTTTAGCTTCTCTTCTTCTTCGGCCGTTTATGTCCTCATATATGAACAGAATGATATATACTCCCAACTATCCTTATCTACATAACTGAGATTTTTCAAGTCGTTACTTTACCCCATGAGAAAATGTACCAGCTGATTTTTGACGGAAAATGACAGTAAAATTCGTAAATTGAGTTTTGAATTGAGTATACAACATTGCACATACATAGAAAGCAGGTCGACCGTCGTGGTTATATTATTATTATCACTGTATTTTACCCTGTATATCATGCATCTAAACTGAGGACTGCGCGACATTGTCATGTTTTTTTCAGCGGAGACATATCTGGACCGACGCGGACTTATTTCATCTCGGAATCAAAAACATAGCGATGAGATCACGCCTCGTGGTGGCAACCACTCCCAGTGGCACCTCTCCTGAGAGCGCTCAGTAAGTGCAAGTAAATTCAGACTGCGGCAATGAGTGTGGAGCCTTGTAGACGCCGCATCACAGTCTTCAGGGCGTCGTCATCCAAGGTAAAGATGGTCGCTAGCACTCCTGACACGCTGCTCAATAATCAGGGATACGTGCTTTTGTCATTCACTTCCACGACAGGAGCGACGACGACACCTGTCTCGCTTACCGCAGGCCTGGCCATTCCACGTTTTCGCCATAACCGTTCATTACGGGGCTATCGACGTTTGCCTTGGGCTTAGCGCTATTTCAGGACCTCACGAGACTCCAGTTCGAGGCTATATGGCTGAGGGAGCGGTTGGCGTTCTCAGGCCAAGCTGTGTACTTACGAAAGGGCCGAAATGTGATAAAACGAGGCTATGTGTTATCCTCTACTTCTGGGACTATCTTATACTTATCGTGAAAATCCGGCTAATCACGTTCACGTAGGTACTTAAGCTATGTCCGGTTCCGCTACAAGTCTGACTAAACCCCCACTCTTATAGCATCATCCCTCTTCCCCACACGCCTTACCTTCTTTCTTTACGACCACGCTGGCCACTCTCCACGGAGGCTCACACTAAACGTTCAGCAAAGAAAAGCGTACCATGTCGAGTACTATGGCTTCCGCGCCCACTTCGTCTCCAAGCGGTGGGACTTCACCCTCAGCGAACGCTCTCCCCGGATGGGGTACCGTGCTCATCACCATAGCCGTCTTTCGTGCGTTACCAATGGCTACATTTGCAGTGTGATCATCGTGCTAACCGAAAATTTTTGCACTGTCCAGTGGCGGTTGTGATTTTCCTCGGTGTCACCCTGCATGCTGCCGGTTGCCTCCGGCGTTGCTCGGACAGGAGCTACCTTTTACCTCTGCGTGTGCCCCAGATGAGCCAGCGAAATGACTCCCTGCCTACTTTGTACTTTGAGCCCGCAGTGTCGGTAGATAGTCTATCATCCACCGTGCCCTATATACAACCTCCACCCCCAGCCTACATCAATCCTCCGAGATACTCCATAATGAAGGACCCAGAAACAGCGACGCTAGGCGGTTGCGTGCATAGGGTGGATATAGGAAGACTGCAAGGAATTGAGAGTGCGAGAACAGGGGCAACAGAGACAGGTTCGTATTTATCCATCACCTCTCTCGTTTCGACCAACAATGAGCTCATTTTACCTGTTCATGAAGAAGAGGAGATTTGTTAACCCCCTCTCAAGATCACACACGTCCAAAACACGCGATTAAATCGCCTTGTTCGCATTTTTTCCCTTTCCTGTTACCTTTATATCCTCGGCATTCGCCAGCACTTTTAGTGTTTCCATGCTCCTACTTGGCAGCTTAGCTCCAACGAAATGCTATACCGATCTAGGTAACTGAATGCCAATCCGGCATTCACATTACGTTAAAGGGTATGTATGTTATACATGTTGCGCATACTTACGTGCGAGTGTATGCATCACCCATTCATTCACTATCACCATCACCATCATCATTTCTTGGATCTCTTTTTCATCTCGCATCGCATCAAGTATTGTAGTACTCATGTATTCCCTCATCTTCTTGCACTATCACCCTCATGAACCCGTAGCTTTACCCTGTACTAATGTGTAATAAGAGTGGCGAGGCGATATATGTAATGCGTGTACAATGTACAATAGTAGCACTAATAGCTAGTACTTGTACTTGTACCGAATAAAAAGCCTACCACTTGTTCTCCATTATGTTTTTCGTATCATATTCGAGTTGTCCGGGGACATGAACTTGTGCCATGAAATGTTCAATTGAACGTTTGTATGTGTACACCCAGAGTATAAGCAAAATAAATGTAAGATAGTCTCATAAAAAGTCGGTATCACCCGAGTGCGAGTGTGCAGAAAATACGGGTGAAGCGAGCGGCATGCACAAAACGCGAGTAACTTTACGACAAGTAAAATTAGAACTAGAACGTCCACGATCGAAACAAGAAGAAAAAAGCTTGGAAAAAAGCCAGACGACATATGCATGACAACGCCGCGGAAAATGGAAATAGAAAGTCCGACTGTATGTAGTAGATCCGAAACGGACAGACAGTAGATGGATTGTGTCAAACTTGAGTACGGACGAAATCTTAAGCGCTATTCATGGAGAGCTGGATTGGGCATGATGCGTCTGTTACTTGAGTGGACGCTCCGTGCGCTGAGGGAAGGCCAGCGATGTACATCTTTAGTACGAGGATGAAGCTGATACCTAGTGATGGTATATGACACGTTAGCGGCTCATAATGGGGGAAATAGGGGAAGAAGTGAGAGCGCACCTGGACGAGTGCCGCTGGGATACAACCCGGGATTTTTACATGCGTTGTACCAGTTGTTCCCTGAGCCGCTCGATAGATTAATATTTCTCGGCTACAGACTAGAAGCACACTTACATGTGGGATCAGAAGTGTTTGTAGCGACGTACGAAAAGTTGAGCGGGATCTGGATCTTTGAAAACGTTTTCGCAGAAAGAGTGGTGTGTCCGAAGTTTCCGGACGCCACTTGCAGGTTCGAGGTGGTATCGTAGATTTCGGCGGAGATGCTGTTGAAGGTAAGAGGAAGGATGTTGCTTGTTGTGTCTACTTCGAGGTCGGCAAGAGCGGGGAAAGAGAAATTGGCTGGCGAGCGGGAAAATTGGGATGGGATGGAGGCGTTGAAGGAGCCAGTGGCACTATCCAGAGGTGTGGTACTGTTGAATGAAAATCCAGGTACACGTGGGATAGTGATGGCTAGAAGTATGACAATGCTGTGAGAAGCGGTGAGATCAGGGTGCGGTGGATATGATAAGATGAAGATACTGACATGACTACCCAAGCAAAGACGAAGAAAACAAGAAATTTCTTCGTGAACCACTTTCCACAGAGACCGGTATCACCACGGTTCCATGCTTTCCAGAAGGCCCTGCGTTTATCATATTTTTTCTCCCGCTTTCCAGCCTGTGTCATGTCCTTCATTTCGGAGAGGTTCCATTCCGGCCCCAGGGCTGGGACGGTCACGAGTTCTACGGGAGTGCGCGTGCTCGATGCATCGTCTGTTTTGGCTTGAGGGATGGAAGGGGGAGGGGGTAATTGTTGGTACCTGTATTAACCTCGTTAAGCAAAGTATCTAGCGGTGTCGTGCAAAGCCCTCACCCCGCATCTGTATGACCCAGTCCAAACGCTGTGCTGTATCTAGGCCCAGCATTGTTGAAATCAGCGTAGACGTCCCACGCCTCGTCATTTCTCCTCGCCTCTTCTTCCTCATCACGCCCACCCTTGACCGGCTCTATTCTGCCAGCATCGAGAAAGGACATGTGGTTGTATCCTGCAGAGTTGCCATTGATGGTGTCATTGTTGAATCTAGACTGACGGTCTGCGTAGAAAGACGAAGACGAGTCCACTCTGGGACGGCTTTGGGCGGGCTGGGGCGCATAGTGGGGCAGAGGAGAGCTGTAGTCGTTGTTGAGGGCATCGACAGAGCTTCTTCTCCCTCCATAGAACGACGACACGGCTGATTTCCTATCAGAATCCATTTAAGACCTATTTACCTGAATAATGACCCTAGCACGGGCGTAAGGAATGTGAAGAAGAGAAAAGGGCTTGACTTGGGCTGAGCTCGCCGTCGATGGGAACCACGAGCAATTTGGACACGGTGTGGGCCACGTGCACCGGGTCCAAATGGGGAAGCATCACGTGGGACTCTCAGCCACTCGTTGCATCTCCGCCCGGATTATTCCGTGCAGATGGGACCCGAGTTCGAGCTTGCACAACACCGACAAGCGTCGCAGTCGATTTTCTTTACTCCTCAGTCATTCCCTTTGCTTTACCCCCATTACAACCAGGAAATAATAATGTCTGATTTCTGTCCTGTATACGCGCCCTTCTTTGGTGCCATGGTGTGTTTTTTTTGTTTCTTCAGACGGCTTTATTTTGCAAACTGAGAGAAACGCGTTGCTCCGCAGGGTTGCACCTGTGCCATTGTCTTTACTTGTGAGTTCAGATTCAGTTTTGAGCACCACTTAGGTTGAACCACTAAATATCTTCGTCTTTCTACAGCCATAGGAGCGAGGTGTGTTTAAATACTATAATATGCTCGCCATTTACTCACTTTACGACCGTCGATACGCCTTTTTGACGACGTTGTTGTAACTGTAAAGTTATGGTACCGCTAAATCAGGTGTTGGTATCTCAGCGATGGGTGTCCTACGACCTGACTTGATGATGAGGTGTGTTGTACCTGTTATCATGGCTGGTATCATAGCTGTGAGTTTTTCAGTTGAGAGCGCAGACTTTCTCTCGCTCTCCGTTTTATTTCGTTGGCGTTTTGTGCTTATGTGTCTTCTTGTAGATCTACGGTCTCGTCGTCTCTGTCCTCATTTCGAGTTCGCGTAAGTATTCCGCAAGCGCTCGTTCCTGTTACTCTTATTGAGACTCAATATTTGACTATTACAGTTGAATCCACAATGCCCCTCGCCAAAGGTTTCATTGATCTCGGTGCTGGTCTCTCCGTCGGTCTCGCAGGTCTCGCTGCCGGTTTTGCTATTGGTATTGTGGGTGATGCTGGTGTGAGAGGAACTGCGCAACAGCCACGACTTTTCGTTGGAATGGTGCGTCCACACAGAATGTGACCCGTACATCATCTAACGCTTTATAGATTTTGATCCTCATTTTCGCCGAAGTGCTTGGTCTCTACGGTATGCGCCTACTCTATGCGCCATGCGGATGATTCTGAGCTTGTACTTTTTGCTAGGTTTGATTGTCGCCCTTATCATGCACACGAAGGCCGGTGAAATTTCGAATGCCATCGTACGTAAAATTTTGTCCCGACGTCCCATTTTGTTTTTAACGACCTTCGTTTCGCAGTGCTTCTGAAGTGTTACCCAGTGGTAGGATGATGAACTGAGGAGTACTTCACATGATCTAGCAACTCTGTCACCTACCTGATAATGCTAGGGTATTACCATTTTCTTTCATCCGTGCAAGGTTCTGTTCCCGTATATTTCTGCATAATTGTAAGAAGATGTGAATAATATACCAATCGCCATATTCCACGTCACAGTGGTGTTTGAAGTGCTTGAGAAATACTAAGTTTAGTAATGCTCTGCAAGGCTACTGTTTACGGCGAGCTGATATCTTTGTGCCTGGACGGTGCAGCCTGATAGCCTATGTCTTTTCATTTCTTGCTTTATGCTATCTGACAGCTAAAGCTACGTTTTACGACCAAAAGCACGATGGTCTCCTTTACTCTCCTTCCAAGCACACTTATCGCTTTATTACTAGCCCTGCCAGCATTCTCTGCACCGACGACACCCAATGACCCATTCCACGCCATTGCAATCCTTGCCCCCCGCCAACCAGAGCCTCCAGTGTGCTGTCTGAAGCCTCTGCAGACATTGGAGCCAGTCGAGGACGACGTTCTGCTCTCGTTCGAGGAATGGAAGACTAAGCAGTTTCAGATGCAGCAGGCGCAGGCACGGGCAGACACTGCGAACCGGTCGGCGGCGCACTCGTCTGCGCACAGTGCTGCTCGTGCAGACGCGCAACGACGAGGAGAGAAGGCGCCGTCGGACGACGGTGCCGCTGTCTTAGCGTCGTCGTCCTCACCGTCCTCGTCGGGTGCAACGGTGCCAGAGCATGGTCAGGCATCATATCACCCCGACGACCTCCTACCACCTCACTTCCGCGTGCCCCTCACCGACAGATTCAACTATGCCAACCTCGACTGCTCAGCACGCGTGCACACCGCGCACCGCAGCGCAAAGTCTCCGTCCTCGATCCTGTCGTCGAAGAAGGACAGGTATATGCTGAGTCCGTGTGCGGCATCTGCGAGGAAGAAGGAGAAGCAGTTTGTGGTGGTAGAGTTGTGTGAGGATATACGGATTGATACGGTGCAGCTTGCGAATTTTGAGTTTTTCAGTGGGGTGTTCAAGGATTTTAGTGTTAGCGTCGCAAAGACGTATACCACAAATGACGATGGGTGGACATTGGCGGGGACGTATAAGGCGAAGAACGTCCGGGGCGTTCAGGTTCGTTTTATATTACGATACATCTTTTATGAGACAAAAAGATCATAGATTTACTGAGACATCTACGTTCACAGTCCTTCCATCCACCCACTTCTCTACGTGATTTCTATCGGTACATTCGCATTGATTTCCACTCGCATTATAGTAACGAGTACTACTGCCCTGTTTCTCTCCTTCGGGTGTATGGTCTCACTCACCTCGAGGAGTGGAAATGGGACAGGTGGGAAGCGGAGAGCAGAGCCAAGCTTGAGGAATCTATTCTGGCCTCTACGCCCGTCGAAGTAGTCGAAGCGCCGGTACCGACAGAAAAACCTACGATGGATACCCCAGAGCCCGTTACTAGTGTGCCTATCCATACCATAGTCCACCCCTCTCCCTCTACGCAAGTTGAGCGGGAAGAACTAGACAACTTCATGGATACTCTTGAATCGCGAGAGGTCGCGCAGGGTGATTCTGTCAAGCCAGAACCTCCTTCGGCCCCACACGCTTCTGACGACGGCATCGCATACGACGGGGGAAAGCAACACTCGCACTCGCACTCACACTCTTCCACCTCTTCCGTCGCGCGGAAGATTAACAGTTCGACGACGAACATCGTGGGTCACGGAAAACCCTCGACCGCCTCTCCCGTCGCGACAGATTCAGCGGACGTCCCTCCTCTCCCCGAGACGTCCGTCCTCGCCTCGTTAAATGCCGATATCCAACAAGTCCATGCAAGCCATGGCCACGAGACGGCAGAGCACCGCCCATCATCATCATCTTCACTCCCTTCGCCAGATTCGATCGCGAACACTCTAACGCACGCATCCGTCATACTCTCCTCTGTGTCTTCCTCTTCAATAACATCCGTGGAGATATCGCCGCCGCTGGCGACTCAGTCGCTTGACGGAGGAGGGTCGTCATCGGGTGTTAGAGTCGTTTCGTCCGGGAGCGGTGCGATCCACGATAATACCTCTTCCTCTCCCCACACCTCTATCTCTTCCTCCGTCCCTCCCCCTCCGTCCTCACATGTTCTCCCCCCCATCTCACCCCCGCCGATGACGACAGGCGGCGGAGAATCGATCTATAGGACGATCATGAACCGCCTCACAGCTCTGGAAGCTAATCATACTCTTTACGCGTTGTATGTCGAAGAGCAGACTACGGGGGTGAGGGAGATGTTGCGAAGACTTGGGGAAGATGTGGGGCGGTTGGAGGGGTTGGTGAGTTAGTTGTATTCGTATTCATATCTTTTTGGGAGGATTGCGACCCCTTTGCATTCGCGTCCGCATTTACAGTCGCGTCGTTTTTATCACTTTTTATTTTTATGCTATTTTTATTCATTTTTGCGCGGCCAATAAATTCGTGATCATCTTAAGACTGACGCGCTTTCCTGCTTTCTTTCGTAGGGAAAAATGCAAGCTCAGATGTATCAGCGCACCGTTCATGAATGGGAGAGGCAAAGGCGGAGACTGGAGATTGAACATGGGGAGCTCATGTCCCGCGTCAACTACCTCGCAGACGAGGTACGTTCCCCATATACGTAAATGATATCTTCAACCTCACATATATCCTTAGGTCATACTCGAAAAACGCCTCGGCATCGCCCAACTCTGCCTCCTTCTCGCCGTCCTCATCTTCATGGGTCTTACCCGGGGCTCTCGCGGCGAGCCTTTCATCTTAGACCATGGGCCTGCGCTCTTGAACAGGTCGGTGAGGGAGTGGGGAAGGGGGAAGTTTGCGTTGAATTTGGGTGGATTCAAAAGTCGGAGTCCAACGCCCGTGCCGGGTGGGAGGGGAAAAGGTGAGGATCATGTTTACAAATACTCTACAAGTGATAGTGATATGTTCATGCTAACCACTATCACAAGACATCCGATTGGATTTTCCTACCCAGCGAGGTCCAGAGCCTGGAAGGGTGAAGCGTGAAGAGGCGACAGCGTCGATGTCGACGGCGAAGTTGGGAGACGTACTCGTCGATAAGGGATCTACGCCCAAAGGCAGGAAACGTTCCAGGACGCCATCCTCTCTCCACACCCCAACAAGGCTACACCACCATCGTCCATGGACACCCACCGGAGGTGGAGGGGGCACACACACGCACATTCGTCCACGCATTACGCGCACAAACTCGCACGGCGCGTCGTCGCTCGGGATTGTTGGGGGACCTGGTGGGTCTGGTGGGCTTGGGCATGTGGCACCGCGCTCAGCGAAGCGGTGGGCGAGGACGGCGCATTTGCATGAGGTAAAGATGGATAGGGATAAGGGGAAGAATGCTGAGGGTGTTGGGAGGTATGTTGGGGAGAATGTACGTGAGGATGGGGGGATGGGTGGTGTCTTTCTGGGCGCTGGCGGTACGGAGAACCAACCACACCCTCACCACCATCATCATCAAGTGAAAAAAGTCGAATTGGGACTGGATACTGGGAAGATGGTGAGGGGCAAGGCAAAGCCTCCGCGTATCGTAACAGAGGACCTGAGGAGGCCTCTGTCGCCTGTTGACCTGACGAGACGAAGGGTTGTAGAGACTGGTGCGCGTGCGGGTGTGGAGGAGGGTATGGGTGATGATGGGTGGGTTGATACGGATATGGAAGGATCGGATATGGATCTGGGTGGTGTTGGAGGTTGATGAAACGTTGATGATGAAGAAGAAAGGAAAAGAAAGAAAGGCGGTGTTTGGTTTTCGCGTGCGAGTGCGAGTGCATGGTGGATGTGGATGTGGATGTGGATATCATGATCAGAAGCTTTGTTCTCGACATGCATTGGAAGTTTGGAACGCATTTATTTTTCTTGTGCCTCTCGCACTGCATCTATTCCTGCAGCTCTCATTTTTTCATTTGTCATTTTGTCATTAGCACTTTCACGTTCATATACCTGTACATCTAATCATATCGTGATAACAAGCGTGATATCCAAAAATTCATTTTTTATTATCTCATTGGGCAGGTCACAACACTGCCACCAACGATGTTGATTATATCTGTTCACTTGTCGTCCTCCCACACTCGAACTCTGGTCTCAACAAAAAATATGACATGAATTTCCCAAGGGTTCAAAACTTTCACCAATGATTCACGCCAGTTCTATCAAATGGTCACGCCACGCTCCTTGTTTCGCTGATGACTCGGACTCCTACCCCTCCAACTCGAAAGTCCTGTATTGGTTAGGTCCGGACGTTGAAGTTATGTGTATGAGGCAACTGCTCCAAGATTCGAAGGCAAAGTGAGCTCAATTGCTTACTCCCCACACGTTACATCTTTGTAGTCGTGAACGTTTTGCTGGCCGCGACAACTACACTAGCAAACGCGTTTATTCTCTCGACGATACTAAAGTTGATGGATTACCGTGGCCTTTCTATCTTCTCCCTAATTCTCACACTCAACCATACATGTTGCAAGGGGCCTTAAACGAGTTTCTGTGACACATGTCTTGATGTTAGACCTGATTATGCCTGTACCACGATTCGTGCGTATCTGTGTTTCTATTTCCGTGTTCATTTATTGGTCCTATTCACATTTGTTGAACAGCTGTCCCTATCTATAAATTACCAGCCGATTGCATTGCATTTTTCGAATTCATAATGACAGGTTCTAATTTTAGTTCTAATCTACTCGAGGAGCAACATCCTGCCTCACTGGCAAACTCGAAAGGAATCTTAGACCTTGACTTGTAAGTACAGTCAGTTGGCAAACATCGTACCATCTTATTTGGAACAGGAAGGATCTTATAATTAAGGTCGCTGTGAATTATGTCAATTTTTGCTCGAGGCACCGCCTGTACTATGCAACTGATCAATCCAGTGCTACTCAAAATGCCACTCGACTCACAACAGAAGTCGTGAAAACTATTTGAACCTTTCGTGTTAGTTGACCTTGTTAAGCTCTGCCGGTTCTCTTTTCATACATGCTGGTGGTGCTATCCTCTAGGCAATTCTTATTACGTCTCCCTGTTTATTGCTGAAAGGACCTGATGTGGAACATAGCTCTTTCTATCTAGCCGCTCAAGTAGGTTTGAACTAATCCGGTGTTCTAAGCAGTTCTGATACCTGAGTATAGTGCATAGCTTTTACGATGACATTCATTCCCGTGCAATACTCCAACTTATTCCCAGGCCTATTGCGTTAAGCTTCGCGAACAACACATCGGGAAGTAGCAGCTCCTAACTGCTGGTATTGCATTGCATTGACATGTTCTAATTGTTATATGATGTAGGCGATTCGGACCCCCTGGGATCACATGCTCACAAGTTTCTTCAGGACCCACATCCCCTGCTCTAAATTTGGAGATCAATGTGCACTTGCGTCAAGAACATCCTGTAAAGTGGTGAGATGAGAACCTCAATGCCTACCTAAAAATTTGCATTGACATTATGTGTCTGAAGACCAATCCATCCTCTGCGATCGCACACTGAAATTTGGCCTTACAGCACGCACGCCATGTAGATCTGAAGCGGTGTTCATGCTCAGTTGTGCACTGACGTCATCGCTAATGGAAAGATCCGTGTAATTCTTCGATAGATTTTGATTGCAGCTTTTCTTTGGTAGCGCTTACCTTCCTCAGCATGATGATATAAAGAAGAAAGCATCGCAGCAGGAGCTCCTCGCGGTCCATGATGGCCTCAGTAATCGATTCATCGTTTACCATCTCAAAGAGCGTGGTGTCCACTAATCACGTTTTTTCTGCTTTTGCACTCATCGGCTTCGTTCTACTCAGTGTCCTTCTGCCGCTCCATATAAAAGGTAATTTGTCATGCACTTGAATGCTTCTCCATCAAAGTGAATGGTGCTGACGTCTTGATATAGCAAGAAATATCGGTACATGCGCACTCGTTATATGGATAGGCTTGCTTTGCTTGAATGGATTCGTAAACTCAATCGTATGGAACCATAATGTCACCGATTGGGCACCTGTGTGGTGTGATATATGTCCGTGCATCTTGGCTTAAGTACTTGTGTTTTTTTCTTATATTTCTTTCACAGCTTCTCGTTTGGTGATTGGCGGGAGAATTGGTGTGCAGTTAGCGTGCTTGTGCATTGCTCGTCATTTGTACCTAGTAACAAGAAACATAAACACTAGCCAGCTTAGTCAAGTCAGGGTACGTTTTGCAGTGCTATCGCCCACTGATCAATTTCTTATCGTCTACGAGCAGCCTTGGAGAGCCATTGTATGTGACTTTCTTTTGGTTATAGGAGTTCCAACATTGTTCATGGTCATATGTAGGTCTCCCACAATGTGTTACCTGTACATGCTTATGCTTATTTGATCTTAGCCTATATTGTTCAAGTTTTGCGCTTTGTCATTTACGAGGAGATAGGCTGCTATTTTGCGTTAGACAACACGCAGCCCAGTTACCCGTTGCGGTTGATATGGCCGTTCTTAGTGTCCCTTAATGTTGTTGTCTACTTAGGTAAGTATCCAGTAGCTCTCTTGTACCCACTCAAAATAATATAACTCCAGGCGTTACTATCCGCACATTGATACAGCGGAGAGCCGGATTCACAAAACTCATCCAACATGATGAACACTTTTTCCAACTGTTGACACTGGCCGTTGTGATAGTCACTTGCACATTTCCGTACAGTCTATGGGTAATTGTAGCGGATGCAACTGGAACTGGAAATCCAGTTTCTCCCTGGTCTGGGTGGGATAATCTACATGGCGATATCCCACATGTTGTCAAAGTTCCAGCTGTTGAGTGGCAAGCGACAATACCTGTGCAGGTGGCTGCTTTACAGTTCGAGCGATGGGTTCATGTGATGTACGCCATCATGGCCTTTTCTTTTTTTGGTTTCACAACAGAAGCAAAGAAGAGCTACCGTGCTGTATTGGGCTTCCTTACTAGCTCCTTCGGTACTTTGGCGATCTACATAGGTCGAAGTAAGGAGTGCGTATCACGTTTCTCGTTTTCCTGCCAATTCCACTGGTCGTGACATATTTCCTCTCTTGATCACGCCTCATCTAGTCGCCCTATACTCGCGTATGCTCGCCAAGCACCAGGCTATCTTCTATTTCCACATACAGCATCAGCTGTCGAGAGTCTGCAACGTACATCGCGTAACTCAAGCTCACTTGAACTGTCCGACCATGGAGTCTAATTCGGGCGTAGTACGTACCGAGACTACCCAGGCAACGACGGCGATGCACAGCATATGCACTTCGAGATGTCGATATTCGAACATCCTGCGCCTGTATTGGGCATCGTATCTGTCTTACGTTGCCATCCACCCGATCCAAACCCGGTTTAACGCATCTTTACATGTTCCTTAACATTGTGTAGATTGTCTGGAATTGCAGCTCAAGTTGCCGCCTTCTCGATACCGGAGCTAAGCTCATGATCTAGTTTTATCACATTTCGATATTGCTGTTTACTTACCACAGAGTAAATGTGCCGTGTACCGTATGCTATGTAGTACCCAAAACCTGTAACAACATACCGCCCAATTGCAACCAGCAGTTGATCACACTGTACAATACAAGCATATGACCCATTTCGAATCAGTCTTTTGAAGTTTCTGCATGCACGTACATGGTTGACCCTTACCCTCAAATGACCTGATGCTTTCTTACTCCAGCGTATGACCGAGCAGAAGATGCTCTTAACGCCCTTGGCTACGACTGCAAAACACGAAGGCTCGACGGCAACTTCTTTTCCGTAGGTACAACGTCGTTCGAAAAGTACATATGCTCATGCAAGGACGAGCGCAAAAATCAGCAAGGAGGGACATGGATCCAGGATATACCTACTGTACTGCCCTCGCGTACAGCCAAGAGCGAAGCTAGTCAGTCGCAAATCCAGACGGTGGAGACTGGAGAGGAGGCTATGCGGCGTCAGAAAAGCGAAGAGGATGAGCGCAGGATGGAAAGTATGACAGAAGTGGAGATTGCGTAGGAGGTGAATGACGTTGTGGTTCTTGTGGAACGATTTGGCGCTCGCGTTTGTGATTCACTAAGGTTAGAGGACGAAGGTCACAGACCCGCCCCCCCCCCCCCCCCGAAAAACGCACCGAAGTTGCATCAATAAAGTTGGAAGCAAAAGCACTACTGGTTCACTCAAAAACTCAAGAACAGTGATTGATTCCGTCTACCACCAAACCTAATATTCAACGGGCGAAAAGTCTTGAAGTTATCGGTACTTTCGAGAGTACATCGCCTATCTCATTCCCGAATTGGACACAGGGTTTGGCAATTAACTTGCAGAGCCACATCTATACTTGATCGAAACTTGATCACACGCAGCACACGTCAATGAATCGGCTCCCGGCTTACCCATTCGCTCTCCCAGATCCAGGTAGCTATCCAGGTGCGTCAAATGGAGACATCGTCCCCCTTGGTACTTCGGAAGAAACATCACGTGTGATATCCGAATCAACTTAGCTACTATCCGATTCGAGGGAGAGAACAGCGAGCTTTGAAGCACGGAATCCTGATATCAATATGGAAGTCAGTCCCGAAGAAGTTCTCTGTATCTAGCCTCTCAAGTAGGTTTGAACCATACAACCTGGAGTTCTTAGCTACTGATATCTACATATAGTGCATAACTTTTACGATGATAATCATACTAATACTCCAACTTACTCCCAGGCCTATCTTGTGCTGAGTGGACATCAAGTGGTAACCTCAATGTTTACCAACGATCTGACGTTGACGGTGTCTGTAACACCCCTATGCGATGGTACACTGGATGTATGGTCTTAGGGTGCGCCACATCTAAACCGAGGCTCATGCTCAGTTGTGCGCTGAAAGCATCTCTAGTGCAAAGATCCGTCTGATTCTCCAATACATCTTGATTGTAGCGGTCCTTTTCGTAGAGCTTGCCTTCCTCCTCAGCGAGATGATATAAAGAAGGAAGCATCGCAGCAAGAGTTCCACGGTAGTCCATCCTCACTTCAGTGATCAACTCATAGCTTACCATCTCAAAGAGCATGGTGTCCACCAATCATGTTTTTACCGGGTTTGCATTCATCGGCTTCGTTCTACTCAGTGTCCTTCTGCCGCTCCATATAAAAGGTAATTTGTCATGCACTTGAATGCTTTTCTATCAAAGTCAATGGTGCTGATGTCTTGAAAAAGCAAGAAATATCGGTACATGCGCTCTCGTCATATGGATAGGCTTGCTTTGCTTGAATGGATTCGTAAACTCAATCATTTGGGATCATAATGTCACCGATTGGGCACCTGTGTGGTGTGACATATGTACGAACATCTTGGCTTAAGTACTTGCGTTTTTTCTAAAATTTCTTTGACAGCATCTCATTTGATGATAGGTGGGGAATTGGTGCGCATTCAACGGGTTTATGCATTGCTCGTTATTTGTATTTTGTCACAAGAAACATAACCACGAACCGGCCCAGTCAAATCAGGGTATGTTTTACAGTGCTGTCCCCCACTGATCAACTTCTTATCGTCTACGAGCAGCATTGGAGAGCCATTGCATGTGACCTGTTTCTAGTTATAGGAGTCCCAACGCTGTACATGGTCTCATGTAGGTCTCTTATTATGTGTTGTCCGCCAGCTTATGCTTATTTTATCTCAGATTAAATTATTCAAAATTCGCGCTACATAATTCTCGAAGAGATAGGCTGTTATTATGCAATATACGACACGCAGCCCTTTTTCCCGTTAATTGTGATATGGCCGTTCATAGTGTCTCTTATCCTTCTTGTCTACTTAGGTAAGTATTCATTGGTTGCCTTGCACCCGCTGAAATCATGTAGGTTCCTCCTATAATTCACATTTTAGTGTCTCAACATGATTGTATGGAACAAACTGAAGCTCTTTATCAACGTTCATTTTTCCGACTATTGGCACTAGCCGTTGTGATAGTCACATGCACATTCCCGTACAGTCTGGTAGTAATTATAGTGGATGCAACTGCAGCTCCAGTTGTTCCTTGGCCTGGGTGGGATTACCTGCATGCAGATTTTTCTTTTGTTCCAAAGATTCCAGCTACTGAGTGGCAAACAATGCCTGCGCAAGTCGTTGCTGTACAGTCCGCGCGATGGAGTTTTGTGATGTACGCCATTATCGTTTTTTCTTTTTTTGGTTTCACGACAGAAGCAAAGAAGAGCTACCGTGCTGTGGCAGGCTTTCTTACTAGCTGCTTTAGTATCTTCGCGGTCTTCAAAGGTCGAAGAATGAGGTATGTACCATGTTTCTAGTTTGCCCACCAACTCCACTGATCATGGCATATTTTCACTCTCAAACATGTCCTATCCAGGCAACAACGTTTTCTTGATCGTCGCATATCCGTACACACTCCCAAAATATCAAAGCGTCATCCACATACAGTATCAACTTTCGACAGTCTGCAAAGTACATCACGCCACTCATGCTCACCTGAACTGTCCGATCCGCAAATGGGATCTAATCTGGGCCTACGTACCGATACTACAGACTCTCCGGAGGACGACGGAGGTGCACAGTATGCGCACTTCGAGATGTCGGTACTCGAGCATCCTGAACCCGTAATGGACATTGTATCCGTTTTACGTCGCCACCCATCCGATACAAACCCGGTTTGACACGTCTTCGCATATTCCTCAACATGGCGTGGACTGCCTGGAAATGCAGTTCAAGTGATCGCCTTTCTTGATAATAGACCTAAGCTCGTGTTTGGGTTTTATCACCTTGTAAAATTACTGCTTATTTACTGCGGAGTAAAATGTGCCGTCTACAGCTATAACAACGTACCGCCCAACCAGTCGACCAAATTGGCGCAATAGAATCATGTGACCCATTTTGAGCCAGTGAAACTTTTGCATGTAGTACTGAGTTGACCCTTACCCATCGCTTTTTCATGCCAGTGTATAACCGTCATTCGATAGGCTCTGCAAGATGCTTCTAACGCCCTCGGCTACGACTCCAAAATTCGAAGGCTCGAGGGCAGCCACATCGTTCGAAAGGCACACATGCTCCCGCAAGAAAGAGCGCTACAAATCGGCAAGGATAGAGGATGCCATGCGGCGGCAAATCAACGAAGAGAATGGGCGCGGGATGACAAGTATGACAGAAGAGGAGATAGAGACGGAGAGAAAAGACATTGTGGAACGATTTGGCACTGGCGTTGGTGATTTACTCAAGACTGTCGAGGAGGCTATGGAACGAAGGTTGCAGGGGCAGCTTCAAGGCTTTTCGCCCTTTGAATCATTAAGTTTGGTGATGCACGGCATTATTTTAAAGCAGCATTCTTGACTGAATCAGTAGAATCAGTAGCGCTTGCCATACCTAAATTTATCGATACAACTTCGATGGGCTCCTCGCAAACACCCTCTATACGATATTAAGGGTACGTCATTTATTTCACACTGGAATTGGATGGCACTTTTGACGACTATCTACAGAGCCACATGCTATACTCTTGAGTCACTTGACAAGCAGCATTCGTCCACCCAGCAGGAGTCGTCGGTTAAGCCTCTTACCCATTCTCTCTCTCTCCTCCATCCCCAGATCCAGATACGTCAAATGGACATTATCTCGCTTGGTACCTGGAAAGGAAGATACTGACTTAGCTACCATCCGATTCGAGGGAGAGAATGGTGAGTTTTGAAGCACGGGATCCCAATATTGATATAGAAGTTGATCCCGAAGAAGTTCTCTGTATCTAGCCCGCTCAAGTAGGTTTGAACCATATTATACGGTGTTCTCAGCTATTGATATCTACATATAGTTTTCAGCTTTTACGATAATAAACATACCCGTGTAATACGCCAACTTACGCCTAGGTCTGTCTTGCGCTACGCTTCGTGAGCATCCTCAATGTTTAGCAATGATCTTACATTGGCGGTGTCTGTAACGCCCCGCTGCGATGATACACTGAAATATGGTCTTAGGGTACGCAACATAGATCTAAACCGGGGATTATGTTCAGTTGTGCGCTGAAAATATCTCTACTCCAAAGATCCATCTGATTCTCCCCTGGATCTTGATTGTAGCTGTCCTTTCGTATAGCTTGCGTTCCTCAGCTAGGTGATGTTGATATAAGAAGGAAGCATCACAGCAAGAGTTCCACACAGTCCATCCTCACTTCAGTGATCAACTCATAACTTACCATCTCAAAGAGCATGGTGTCCACCAATCATGTTTTTTCTGGGTTTGCATTCATCGGCTTCGTTCTACTCAGTGTCCTCCTGCCTCTCCATATAAAAGGTGATTTGTCATCCACTTGGAAATTTCTCCGCCGAAGTCAATGGTGCTGACAGCGCTGACACCTTGATAAAGCAAAAAATATCGGTACATCTGCCCTCATTATATGGATAGGCTTGCTTTGCTTGAATGGATTCATAAACTCAATTGTTTGGGATCACAATGTCACTAATTGGGCACCTGTGTGGTGTGATATATGTATGTGCACCTTGGTTTTAGTACTTGTGTTTTTTCTAAAATTTCTTTTGATAGCATCTCGTTTGATGCTAGGCGGGGGAATTGGTGTGCAGTCAGCGTGCTTATGCATTGCTCATTATTTGTATTTTGTCACAAGAAACATAACCACAAACCGGCCCAGTCAAATCAGGGTACGTTTTACAGTGCTGTCTACCACTGATCGACGACTTATCGTCGATGAGCAGCCTTGGAGAGCCATTGCATGTGACCTTTTTTTGGTCATAGGAGTTCCAACACTGTACATAGTCGTATGTAGGTCTTTTGCAGTGTGTTATCCGCAAGCTTATGCTGATTTTATCTCAGCTTATATTTTTCAAAGTAACCGCTTTGTGATGTTCGAGGAGATAGGGTGCTATTATGCGATATACAACACGCAGCCCATTTTACCGTTACTTTTGATATGGCCGTTGATAGTGTCTCTTATCCTTCTTGTCTACTTAGGTAAGCATTTAGTGGCCCCCCTGTACCCACTCAAAATGATATAACTCCAGGTGTTACTATTCGCACGTTGATACAACGGGGAGCAGGATTAAAAAAACTCGTTCAACGTGATGAACCATTTTGCCGACTATTGGCACTGGCCCTTGTGATAGTCACCTGCACACTCCCGCACAGTCTGTGGGAAATTATACTGCAATTGAAATTCCAGTTGTTCCTTGGCCTGGGTAGGATTATGTGCATGCCGATTTTTCTTATATTTTCAAGATTCCAGCTACTGAGTGGAAAGCGGTGCCTGTGGAAATGGCTAATTTACAGTTCACGCGATGGTGTTTTGTGATGTACGCCATCATTGTCTTTGGTTTTTTTGGGTTCACGACAGAAGCAAAGAAGAGCTACCGTGCTGTGGCGGGCTTCCTTATTAGCTGCTTTAGTACCTTCGCGATCCTCAAAGGTCGAAGAATGAGGTGTGTACCATGTTTCTTTACCCGCCAACTCCACTGATCATGGCATATTTCCTCTCTCAAACATGTCTCATTCAGACAAGAACGTTTACCTGGTCGTCGCATATCCGTACACACTCCCAAACTATCAAACCATCATCGATGCCCACATACAGCATCAACTGTCGGCAGCTTGCAAAGTACGTGTAACTCATGCTCACCTGAACTGTGCGATCCGACAATGGGGTCTAATATGGACCTAGTGCGTGCTGAAACTACACGCTACCCGTGCAGCGACGGCGATACACAGAATGTGCACTTCGAGATGTCGGTGCTCGAGCATCCTGAACCCGTATTGGACATTGTATCCGTCTTACATCGCCATCCACCTGATACAAACCTGGTTTGACACATCTTCACATGTTCCTCAACATAGCGCGGACTGTCTGGAAATGCAGTCCAAGTTGTCGCATTCCTTGATACAGGAGCTAAGCCCGTGTTTGGGTTTTATCACCTTGTAAAATGAATGTTTACTTACTACAGAGTAAAATGTGCCGTGTACAGCTGTAACAACATACTGCCCAACCACCAGTTGACCAAATTGGTGCAATAGAATCATGAGACCCATTTTGAGCCAGTCTGTTGAAACTTTTGCATACACGTACTTAGTTGACCTTTACCATCTTTTTTATGCCAGCTTATGGCCGTCATTCAATAGGCGCTGCAAGATGCTTCTAACGCCCTCGGCTACGACTCCAAAATTCGAAGGCTCGAGGGTAGCCAGATTGTTCAAAAGGCACACATGCTCCCGCAAGAAAGAGCGCTACAAATCGGCAAGGAGGTGCATAGTGCAAGGATAGAGGATATAATGAAGCTGGTCAGTCACAGATCCAGACGCTGGAGAGGATGCCATGCGGCGGCAGATCAGCGAAGAGAATGGGATGGCAAGTATGACAGAACAGGAGATAGAGCAGGAGAGAAAGGACATTGTGGAACGATTTGGCACTGGCGTTGGCGATTTACTCAAGACTGTCGAGGAGGTTATGGAACGAAGGTTGTAGAGACAGCTTCAAGACTTTTTGCCCTTTGAATCATTAGGTTTGGTGATGTACGGCATTATTTTAAATCGGCATTCTTGACTGAATCAGTAGAATCAGTAGCGCTTGCCATACCTAAAGCTATCGATACAACTTCGATGGGCTCCTCGCAAACACCCTCTATACGATATCAAGGGTACGTCATTTATTTCACACTGGAATTGGATGGCACTTTTGACGACTATCTACAGAGCCACATGCTATACTCTTGAGTCACTTGACAAGCAGCATTCGTCCACCCAGCAGGAGTCGTCGGTTAAGCCTCTTACCCATTCTCTCTCTCTCCTCCATCCCCAGATCCAGATACGTCAAATGGACATTATCTCGCTTGGTACCTGGAAAGGAAGATACTGACTTAGCTACCATCCGATTCGAGGGAGAGAATGGTGAGTTTTGAAGCACGGGATCCCAATATTGATATGGAAGTTGATCCCGAAGAAGTTCTCTGTATCTAGCCCGCTCAAGTAGGTTTGAACCATATTATACGGTGTTCTCAGCTATTGATATCTACATATAGTGCATAGCTTTTACGATAATAAACATACCCGTGTAATACGCCAACTTACGCCTAGGTCTGTCTTGCGCTACGCTTCGTGAGCATCCTCAATGTTTAGCAATGATCTTACATTGGCGGTGTCTGTAACGCCCCGCTGCGATGATACACTGAAATATGGTCTTAGGGTACGCAACATAGGTCTAAACCGGGGATTATGTTCAGTTGTGCGCTGAAAATATCTAGTGCAAAGATACATCTGATTCTCCCATGGATCTTGATTGTAGCTGTCCTTTCGTATAGCTTGCGTTCCTCAGCTAGGTGATGTTGATACAAGAAGGAAGCATCACAGCAAGAGTTCCACACAGTCCATCCTCACTTCAGTTATCAACTTGTAGCTTACCATCTCAAAGAGCATGGTGTCCACCAATCATGTTTTTTCTGGGTTTGCATTCATCGGCTTTGTTCTAGTCAGTGTCCTTTTGCCGCTCCATATAAAAGGTGATGTATTATCCATTTGGATCGAAGTCACTGGTGCTGACGTTTTGAAAAAGCTAGAAATATTGGTACATGCGCTCTCATTATATGGATAGGTTTGCTTTGCATGAACGGATTCGTAAACTCGATTGTATGGGATCATAATGTCACCGATTGGGCACCTGTATGGTGTGATATATGTGTTGGAAGTATACGAAACGCACAAGCGTCGTACGGCGTGCTGCATGTATAAGGAGTGGCGCAGGCGCCAAACTGGGAAAGTCCAGTAGTTGGGGTGGCCCGTGCACCCAATATACCGCATCATTTTTTTTGGTTCTGTCTTCATTTATATATGCTGTCGTCGTCAGGCAGACACCTCAGATCTTCTCTCGAAGTCTGAGGTGAGATATTTTTATGTTAAACTTATGAGTACTTAGCTTATACCTCATTTTCAGCTTATTGTCTTGCTAGGTACATTATTCTGAATATATCAGATCTTCTCTCGAAGTCTGAGCTTATTGTCTTGCTAGATCAAATCCGAACAATTTCAATATGTATGTGCACCTTGGCTTAAATAGTTGTCTTTTTTTAAAATTTCCTTGACAGCATCTTATTTGATGATAAGTAGGGCAATTGGTGTGCAGTCAGCTGGTTTATGTATTGCTCGTCACTTGCATCTTGTCACAAGAAACATAACCACGAACCAGCCCAGTAAAATCAGGGTATGTTTTACAGTGCTGTCCCCCACTGACCAACTTCTCATCGTCGATGAGCAGCATTGGAGAGCCATTGCATATGACCTTTTTTTGCTTATAGGTGTTCCAACGCTTTACACAGTTATCACAACACAATGGGATCCGCACCCGTGTACAGTGATTCTGGACCTTCTGGGCATGCAACCAATCAGTATGCTTTCCAAGTACACCTTGGTAGCTTAGTTGGTAAAGCACCAGACCATGAAAGCTGGAGTCCCAGGTTCAAGCCCTGGCCAATGCATGTTTTCTCATACTATAAACAAATGTCATAATTTGTCAGATACCATATCTATAATTTCTCCGAATCTTATCTTATCATAGTCACGTGACCAAACATGTGACCTATGATGTAGTCACTTACAAAGACAATTACCAAGCACCTCATGCCTTACGCATGTCGCTCAGTCAGCGCCTCATTTATAACACATGTTCTCTAGTATATATACAGCTACCTCTTGTACATATCCCCCAGCTGTTGATTACATCTTTATACATCATTGTTAGACCCTGCTTGCAATTAGATGACTAGACCTCCGTTAGCTCGGTATAGGGTCTGGTTATCACACAATCAACAGCTGAAAAGTTGAGCACTGTCTATGATATTAACAGCAGCTACCATCATAACAATCATCCTAACCTTTGCCCTCCCAATCCTATTCGTCATCATCTACCTTGTCTATATAACCGTAACATCCATCAACACAACTCCAACCACTTCACTTCCCATTCCCCCATGTCCATCAACCATTACATCCTTCTTCCCCAGAGTCTTAGATTCTCTCGAGGAAATTCCCCTCACTCCCATCCCAGTAGTTACAGCTTTACCCGGTGTGGAACCGAGCAAAGCTTAGATAAAACTCTACATACAATTCAAATTCTCATACCTCTGACCAGGCCGCACACTTGCGTCAGCCAGTCGGGAGAAGAACTGACAGCTTAATAAGCGGGTTATTTTGGGACAACTGTTCGGACCCCAAACTTATTACTATACATTTTACCTACCTTTTGTAAACACATTTTATATCGCCCTACATACACGATAGTTCTGGGCAGAAGAGGACCAGATTATCAAAGAGAAAGACAGCATCTACGATCTTCACAGAGGTGTATCAATCCAATTTGTCATTGGTGAACTCCTGTGTATGCGTAGAGACGACCTAGAACATTGGATAGCCACAGAACAAGGCTATACACATACATTTCTGTGGTGTTGCAAATTTGACGCACCAGAAATAGAATCAATCAAATCAGTTTCATTACGTTCACCCACCCCTCAGATCAAACAAGAATCACCCGAACCTGTTGAACTCAATTTCCGTCGATTTCATGCGATTTTGGCAAAGAGAACTATCAATAAGCACAATGACAGACAGCATGCTGGACCTTGCAGAGGCATTGCCAGCAGCTGGACCAAGCCAGACCCAACTACCACAGATACCGGCCGGTCTAACCCCAGAGATCCAAGAATGGATGCAGAGAATAATCAAAGCAGAAGTCGCCAAGAGGGTGATGGAAGCAACCGAAAGAGAAAGAGAGGGACGGATGAGGGCCCACCAAGCAGCAGAAAGAGCGGAGGAGGAGGCAGCAGAATACAGGGGATTGTGAGAGCGACAGATTGCTACCAATTCCGAGATACAAAAGAACGACGGAGGAGGAGAGAAGAGAGATTGCGGAAGGATAAGGAGTGCGTTAGACAACCTGCCATCCTTCTGTTAGGCTATGAGAAGACTAAAAGAGAGTATTTCTCAGTCTTATAATCAAGAGACTCATATTGAAGGATAATATACCTAAAAGAGAGTATTTCTAATAGTGTAAAGTGAGTATGATGATATAAAGTAAACTGTAAAATAACCAGACATACCTCAGTCTTATAATCAAGAGACTGAGGTTTGTGTAAGGCAGAGTGCTACGAGTTTTTGGAATAAGTGTGGGAAAGTTTTGAGCTTATGTAATGTAGTGGAAAAGCGGTCAAGTAGAGATGAAAGAATGGTGTATGGAAATGAAGAAATAAAAGGATAAAATGATAGGATGTGAGTGTATCATAAACAGGATATGCCAACACACCCCCTCAAACCAAATCAACTCCCATTAATTTATTGAAGTGTTGTAATTTGGGTCGAGCCAGTGGCTTTGTGAGTGCGTCTGCAGGCATTTCATTTGTGGGACAAAATAGGATTTGAATCAAATTTTGTTCGACAGATTGTCTTATGAAATGATAGCGAATATCGATATGTTTGGTGCGAGAATGATAGATATTATTTTTGGTGAGCTCAATTGCACTACGATTGTCGCCATAAAGCGGAATTGGTCTAGTGAGTGGTTTGTTTGTGATTTCGGCCCAAATGTTTTTGAGCCAGATGGCTTCTTTGGCTGCGTGTGTGATAGCCACATATTCGGCCTCTGTGGTCGATAGTGTTACAATTGGCTGTGTCTTACTATTCCAGGAGACGGCTCCACCATTGATCCTAAAAACATATCCTGATATAGAACGTCTGTGGGAATGTGAGGCAAAGTCTGCGTCCGAAAATCCAACCAAGCCTTCGTCGGTTTGGCCTATGACCAATCGGAACTCTTTGGTGGCTTTCAGGTATCGTAGGACTCGTTTTGCTGCCTCCCAGTGTGTTCGACCAGGATTTTGTAGGAAACGAGAGAGTGAAGATATTGC